TAAAACTTGTTAAAATACATGCCCTACTTCATATTGGGCTAACAGCTCAAATTTGTAATGCTCAACTTGCGATTCTACATGTTTTACTTGCTTAAGTCCAGGTATTTATCATATTTAACATTAGAAAAAAGGGGAAAAAAATAATTTAAAATATTTTTTTACTTTTTATTTTTCTTATAAAAATAGAATATTAAAAATTTTTTTATTATCATAAATAAGGTGATTCAAATTCATGTACAAGCTGTAGTGGATACCTATTTTTGTTATCAAATAAGTGCATAATAAATTGCCCTTCTAACACATTTCCATTAAATTGTAAATAAAATTTTTTCTTCTTTTTTATAAAATTTTTTATTAAAAAGAAATCAATAACAATATTTGTTAACCATGTGATGCATCTTGCAAAACCTGTGACGGACCTAGTAGTAACAACTGTTTAAGCTGTTAAACTCCAACATTTTATAATCAAAGCACTAAAACTTGTACACCTTAATGCAATTCAAATTATTATTAAAATAATAGCAGCCAAGTATGCTCTTTTTGCGATTATTCATGCAGTACCTGCTCAGGTCCCAGCTACACTAACTGTCTCTCCTGCTCTGGAAATACATTTTTAGATCAAAACTAATGTATTGCGAATTGTCCTGTAAAACATTTTAATAATGCATCTAACAACTAGTGCACAGCATGTGATTAAACGTGTTTTTAATGCTATGGTCCTGCTTCTAATAATTGTCTTTCTTGCCAATTACCAAGATATTTTGATCCAACATCAAATTCATGCCTATTGACTTGCAATTCAAACCAATACCCTGATTTAAACTCTAATTCATGCAAATAATGTGACCCATCTTGCTTAACATGTAATGGACCATCAAAATCTAACTGCACAAGCTGTACATAAGGTAATTTAATAATTTTATAACAAAATATCTTAGATGTTAAAATGCTAATAATTTTATCTTTAAAAAGGGAAATTTTTACAAAATAACATATGTAAGCAAATATGTGATGGTTCTTATTATGGTGAAACTCTCACTAATACATGCAATTCATGTGATTCAACTTGTCTAACTTGTGATGGACCTAACAAATAAAACTGCTTGAGCTGCTAAGCTCCATATTTTTATCAATAAGTTTCGAAAACTTGTGTTACACAATGCAACTCGAGTTAGTTTAAAAATACTGCTAATTAAATATGCTCTCTTTGTGACTCATCATGTAATACTTGTTCAGGGCCTAGTAACATGAACTGCCTATCTTGCGCAGGAAATACATATTTGTATTAAAATTAATGTATCTTAAATTGCCCTTCAAACTATTATGGAAATAATTAAAATAAATAATGTACTCAATGTGATGCTACATGCTATTTATGCAATGGTGGTGCAAACAATAATTGTCTTTCTTGTCAAAATGGCAAATATTTAGATTAAACATTAAAATAATGTGTTTTAAATTGTAATTCTAATTAATTTAGTGATGTATACTCTGGTTAGTGCTGGCAATGTCATTCATCTTGCTAAACATGTAATGGTCCATTAATGTCTAACTGTAAAAGCTGTACATCAGGTATAAAAAATAATACTATTATTTTCTATATAATTAACACTGAGCTATCCCTAAAATTTATGCCATTTTAATTAGTATAAATTAAAATTTTTTGTAATCTTATTAACATTTTTTGTCATATTTTTAATGGGTACTAAATTAAAAAATGAATAATTATTAAGAAATTAGTATTAATATCTTGGTGTCAATTATTGAAGTTAAAGAGAATTTATTTAATTTATTTATTAAATATTTTATTAAAAGGACTATTTTTACAAGATAACTAATGTAAGCCAGCATGTGATGGTTCTTATTTTGGAGATATTATAACAAATACTTGTAAACCATGTTTTAATTCTTGCAAAACTTGTGATGGGCCTAACAATAATAATTGTTTAAGTTGTTTAGCTCCAAATTTATTTTTCTAACAAAGTTCTAAGACTTGTGTATCAACATGTGAAATAAATTAGTTTAAAAATACAAACAATCAATCATGCTCTTCTTGCCATTCAACATGTAGCACATGTTCAGGTCCTAATGACATCAATTGTTTATCTTGCTAAACAAGCTTCTATTTATATCAAAATTAATGTTTATCTAATTGTCCAATAAACTATTATGGTAATTCTTAAAATAATTAGTGTGCTCCATGCGATTCTACATGCTATACTTGCAGTGGCAGTGCTTCCAATAATTGTTTATCTTGCTAATAAAAGAGATATTTTGATCCAACAACTAATTAGTGCGTTCTACAATGTAATTCAAACTATTACCCTGATATAAATTCAAATTCTTGCAAATAATGCAATACTTCATGTAAAACATGCTTTGGACCTTCTTCTTAAAATTGTAAAAGTTGTATTTAAGGTATAATTTTTTTTAATTTAAAAAATTAATAATATAAGATATTATTTTGGAAAAGGTACATTTTTGCAAAATGGTTAATGCGTTTAAACTTGCGATAATTCTTATTATATTAATCCATAAAGTAATGTTTGCTAAAAATGTGATTCGATTTGTAAAACTTGTTCTGGATCTTCCAAACTTGAAGTAAATTTTTTGATTTTTTCAATAAAATTAATACTTTTTAAAAAAGTGTCTCTCATGCAATCCTAATTTATTTTTGTTGAAAAATTCTTGCTATACAGATTGTCCGATAAACTATTATACTGACTAGTAGCAGGATGAATGCTTAGAATGCCATATAATTTGTAAACAAGGGTGTAGTGGTCCATTTTAAGAAGATTGCTTTACTATTAAATATCAATATTAAATAATATTATATATTTTAGCTTTTAAAAGCCTTATTTGGATAGTTTCTACTATACTCGGTTATCTTTAAGATAAAAAATAATCTTAAATATTTATATAAATAGCAAATTACCCACAAACAGTAGATAGTGACAGTCCTTCTAAAAAAAATTAATAAAAAGATGGTGATTAAAATTCTTTTGACAGATATATAAATTAGTAAAGTCCAAATAAAATGAAAGTTGAATAATTTAACTGTTAATAATAATAATAACAACAAATTGATTAAATATAAAATTAGTAGCTGTAAACAAATTAAAATTTGGATAACAAAATTATAAAATCTAATAGAAGACCTAGAAAAATTATACACAAAAATATATTTTATGAGAGAACATTAACATTTAAGGATTATTCTGAAGAGAATTTTGACTAAGCTACTCCTACAATATTAAAAAGTTTAAGTAAGATGGCTAGCACAAACTTTAATCAAGCTTCTTCATCTCCCGTCAAAGACGAACAAGATTTAGATAAATAAGTTGTAACTATTCAATAGTCTTAAAGAAAGTATAGAGCTGACTAAAAACTTAAATTCACATTTGTAAATTTATTTTTTTTAAAATAGATAGGGTTGTAATTTAAAAATTTTACTTTTTATAAAATGAAAATCACATTTAAATAATCCTATAAAAATTTTAAATTTTGAAAAAAATTGAAAAACCTCCCTATTAACGATATTAATAATAATTTATAATTAAATATTAGTTAGGAAATGAATGGATATCGTTATTTTATTTCCACAGTTTATTAGACACAAGAGTTTCAAGAAGTTTCTTAATATACTTAAAATACCAAGTATTTTTCTTAACTACAGAACTAATATATGAAGTAAAAATAATTTATTTTTTTTGATAAATATTTTTAAACAATTTGTTTAATTAAAGTATTAGTATTCTTACCTTTTATTAGGTATTGCTTTAATTGTTAGTTTGACACTTTAATATATTTTTAAGATTTTGTAACAAACTTTAGTTAGAAAACATTTCAAATTAATATTTTTAGTTATATTTTTATTTGTAGCTATTTTAACTGTTCATGCTTATTTCTGGTTTGTTCCTAAACTTGAATCTTTATAGTATATGAAGGATTAAAAATGGAGTATTTATTATGGGTATATCTTTGTTATAGATATTCTTATTCTTTAGCAATTATTTAGCTTAGCTTAGTACATATTTACTATAAAATACTTGAATGCTAAAGAAACTAAAAATAAATTTGAAAATATTTATAAATTTTTAATGAATGAATTTTATTTATAAATAATAAAATGAAGAACTAACTATTAATATTCTCTATCATCTATATAATTTATCATTCTATATAGTATTTAGATTATAGAAGATCATTTTATGAAAATTATTTATATATATTTCAATTAGAGTATTATACCGTAAATTCTCCTTAATTAAGACACTCGACTTTAAATGTTTGATTGAAAAATGGTGTCTTAATTCATTATAATTTAAATAAAAATCTATTTTAAATTAGAAAATAGATAATTTTTGAGGCTACTAAAATTTAGAGTAAATTTTTTACCGTTGCCTATAAACAAAAATTAAGAATTTAGAAATAAAATTTTTTTTAATTCTATGCTTTTAATTGATTTAAAATAATATCATTAAGGATACTGATTTAAAATACAATATGATCAACTAAAAATTTAATAATTTCATTTTTTTAAATTATTTTAATATTAATTGCAAACAGCTGTAAATTAATTTTTACTTATTTTGAAAAAAAGAAAATTTTAAAATAATTTGTGTATTATTATTCTAGAAGAATAAAAAAAGTAAGAGCTTGGTAATCTAAGCAATAAAATCTATTATTTATTTATAAAAAATATCAAATTAATTAAAAATAAGCAATTATAAGTAACTAAATATAATTAAATTATGTGTTTAAAGTTAAGTATAATAATAAGATTTTCAAGACTTTTAATTAAAGTCTCTTTCTAAATTTCTTGAGATTTTTATATGTAAAGCAAAAAAAATATTTCTTTCATTACAAAAATATAAATATTAAAAGTAAATATTTAGTTTTTTTCATGTATATTTTAATTTTAAGTTAGTAATTATGAGATATAAAAAATAAAAATAAATTAAATGTCTATAAAATCTAAATTCTTAATTATTAGTATTATGATTTACAAATATACTTCACTTTTTTGGATCCTTAATATCATACTATTAGCTTATGGAGGTATCATTTATCTTACTTTTGTAAAATATGTTTAATTAATATAAAAATAATAGCTGATAAGCTTGTAGTTTAGGAATTAACTTCAACTTTCACAGGCTCAGGCTGGTCTCCTAACACTATATCGTAATGTCAAACAGGTGCTCTTACCGAATTTTCAAATCAAAATGTGATGGGTTTTTTTGGTTTAGGAAGCAATACTTCTACTAAAACATTTACCAATATACCTCCTCACTGGAGCCTTTCAATTAGATTTGATTTACTTCTTTATTAATCTTTAGATTCTAGTGATTATGTTTATGTTAAAATTAATGGAAACATAGATGCTTACTAAAAAGATAATCCCGATAACGGTTATTTCAGATGCATCTCAACGAATGTATTTTTTTTTGATGAGGTAGTCCTTTACTATAGAAATTTTACTCATTCTGATTCTTCAATATCTGTGACCTTATTTTCTCAAACAGACGAAGCCATCTCTAATGAAGGTTTTGGTTTTAACAATTTTTATTTATACGTAGATACTTGCCATGATTCATGCTCAACTTGTACTGGACCTACTGCAACTTAATGTCTAACTTGTCCTACCAATTCTATTTAAAATGGAAATAAATGCATATGCAATAATGGCTATTCTGCCTAAAACAATCAATGCATACAAATTTGCTAATCAGGATATACTAAGGATTCTACAGGAAAAATTTGCGTTCAAGATTTTTGTAGTAATACAACATGTGACACTTGCTAAAATGGCTTATGTATATCTTGTAAATCAGGATTTTATTTGCTAAACGGATAATGTGTATCAAGTTGCCCTTCCTACTCCACTCAAAGTGGTTAGTAATGTATGGACATAATTTCTTAAACTTAATGTAAATTTTATATTAAGATTTTTTATATTTTAAATAAATTGATAAATTAAATTTTTAGATGGAGGTTACTTGCTGAAAAGCATGTTTAATACTTACTTTGGAGAGAGTGAAATTATAGGATCTGGTCTAAATGCAATTGGATTTTTAGGAAACATTAATACTTCTAGCAGAGCATTAACTACTGTATGTAATGGTAAAACAATCTTAGGTGGCGCATACTTAAGCTCTAAGAACTCACTTATTTAAGCAAAATTTAATTCATTGTAATATTTTTTTACTAAATCAGAACTTATTTGAATTTTCTTAAAATTTATAGGTAACCTCACAGGTCAGTAACTATAGGATATACTTTATATAAAATTGATGCATGGAATTAAGAATATGTATAGTTAATTGTAGATGGAGATTTAATTACTGTAACAATAAGAAATATGTTTGACGGAGGAGTGAACTTATGTGGGAAGATTTAATATAATGACTAAATTATCAAAGTTTCTTAAAAATTTTCACATTCAAAGAATTCCCTTGAGTTAAATATCTCAAGTGGTTTAAATAGTGATCCATTTACTGAATCTTATGGTATTAGGGAGCTCTTTATACTTGTTGATTATGTAAACAAAAATAAATAACTAATTAAATTTTACTATACAATTTTAATAAAAGTGTTCTCCTAATTGTCTATAGTGTGATAATTAAGGATGTAACAAATGCTAATAGGGCTTATATTTATACAACTATTAATGTGTCTTAACATGTCCAGATAGTTTCGTTACTGATGCAAATAAAATTTGTCAACCTTGTGATTTTTCTTGCTATAATTGTTTTTAACCATGTAAATAACAAAAACTGTTAAAATAAAATCTTTAATTTTTCTTTAAAAAAATATATTTTCACATTTTTTTTAGTTTTATTAGAACAAATTAAAAATATTAAATTAATTTTTCTTAAGGAGCTAAATTAAAAGTTCATAGACGAATTTAATAATTTTTTAATTTTATCAATTGAAAATAATAAAAATATTTAAAAAACTTTAAAGTAAGCAGTACATCTTGTTTGACTTGCTAACCTAATACATATCTAAATCCTAACAATTCCTGTCTAAATAATTGCCCTTCTAAATATTGGGCAAATAACTCGAATTTGTCATGTTAGGCTTGTGATGCTACATGTTATAATTGCTAAAATCCAGGTATTTATTATTCTTTTTTTAAGTATTAAAGAAAATATTCAATTTATAGAATATCAGTTATTTATAAACTTTACTTGTATTCATAAAACTAAATTCTTTTTATAAAACTTTAAAATGTACAAAAGGCGATTCAAACTCATGTACAAATTGCAATGGTTAATTTTATCTGCTATACAATAAGTGCATTGCTATTTGTCCTCCCAACACATTTGCTGTAGCATGTAAACATTTTTAATTTGTAGTATATTCATATTTTTTATTTATGAAGAAACAAATAACAATATTTGTTAATCATGCGACTTATCCTGTAAAACATGTGATGGACCAAATAGCAATAATTGTTTAAGTTGTTAAAGCCCAATGTTTTATTAGCAGACCTCTAAAACTTGTGTATCCTCATGTAATTAAAATTAATTTTAGAGTAATTAAATTTGTTATCCTTGTGATTCTTCATGTAATACTTGCTCAGGTCCTAGCTATTTTAACTGTCTCTCTTGCTCAGGAAATACATTTTTATACCAAAATTAATGTATTACCAACTGCCCAGTAAAATATTATAATAATAGTTAGAATAATTAATGTTCTCCATGCGATTCTACATGTTATACATGCAATGGAAATGCTTCTAACAATTGTTTATCATGCGAATTATAAAGATATTTTGATTTTTAGTCAAATAAATGTGTACTTGCATGTAATTCTAACTAATACCCTGATTTAAACACTATTTCTTGTAAATAATGTGATTCTTCCTGTAAATCTTGCAACGGCTCAACAGCTTCTAACTGTACAGATTGCAGATCAGGTAAATAAAATTGTATTGTAATTTCTTTTTAATCAAAACCTATCACTTTGATCAAATTTTTTTAAAAAATTTTAACTTTCAATAAGATTTAGGTTCTGCATAAAATTATATTTTAGTCATGCTTATTTAAGAGAATTTATGTTATTAATAAAAACAATTAGATTGACCATTTTTAATAAATAATAGGACTATTCTTACAAAATAATTAATGCAAGTCTATTTGTGATGGTTCATATTTTGGAATGACTTAAACTAATACTTGCTAACCATGTCATTTATCTTGCTTCTCATGCAATGGTTCAAGCATCAATAATTGCTTAAGCTGTTAAGCCCCAAGATATTTTGATCCTACAACTAATTAATGTGTTTTAGTTTGTAATTCTAATCAGTATCCTGATTTAATATCTAATTTATGTAAGCAATGCGATTCAACTTGCTTGAGTTGTAATGGCCCATACATTTATAATTGCACAAGTTGTAGATCAGGTAATTAAATAATATTTTATAGATATATTAAGTTATAATAATATTTTTTAAATTTTAATTTAAAAAGGACTATTTTTACAAAATAATTTTTGTAAGTAAACCTGTGATAGTTCTTATTTTGGAGCGACATAAACTAATACTTGTTAACCATGCTAATCACCTTGTAAAACTTGTGATGGACCTAACAGTAATAACTGCTTAAGTTGCTAAACTCCAACATTTTATCAGTAGATCTCTAAAATTTGTGTATCCTAATGTAATTAAAATTAATTTTAAGATACAAGTAATCAAAATTGTTCTTCTTGTGATCCATCATGCGCTACTTGTTCAGGTCCTAGTAGTTTTAACTGTCTATCTTGCTCATTAAATAAATTTTTATATTTAAATTAATGTGTTACTAATTGTCCTATAAGATTTTATAATAATGCTTAGAGTAACTAGTGTTCTCAATGTGATTCTAGTTGTTATACGTGCAATGGAAGTTCATCTAACAATTGTCTTTCTTGTGAACTATAAAGATATTTTGATCCTTAATCAAGCAAATGTATTACCTCTTGTAATTCTAATTAATATCCTGATGTTAGTTCTAATTTATGTAAAGTTTGCGACTCTTCATGCCTAACTTGTAATGGATCATATAGTTCTAATTGTACAAGTTGTAGATAAGGTAAATGATAATTCTTCAAAAATTTAATCAATTTATTACATTTTCTTAAATATTTAATCTAAAAATAGGGCTTTTCTTACAAAATAATTAATGCAAGTAAAATTGTGATGGTTCTTATTTTGGAGAATCTGTAACAAAAACTTGTCAGCCATGTGACTAGTCTTGTAAAACTTGTGATGGTTCTAACAGTAATAACTGCTTAAGTTGTTAAGCCCCAAAATTTTATCAATAGGCCTCTAAAATTTGTGTATCCTAATGTAATTAAAATTAATTTTAAGATGCTAACAACTAAGTTTGCTCTTCTTGTGATTCATCATGTGCCACTTGCTCAGGTCCTAGCAATTTTAACTGTCTATCTTGCTCATTAAATAAATTTTTATATTTAAACTAATGTTTTACTAACTGTCCTGTGAGATTTTATAATAATGCTTAGAGTAACTAGTGTTCTCAATGTGATTCTAGTTGTTATACGTGCAATGGAAGTTCATCTAACAATTGTCTTTCTTGTGAATTATAAAGATATTTCGATCCTTAATCAAGCAAGTGCCTTTCCTCTTGTAATTCTAATTAATATCCCGATATTAGTACTAATTTATGTAAAATTTGCGATCCTTCTTGCTTAACTTGCAATGGCTCATAAAGTTCTAATTGTACAAGTTGTAGATAAGGTAAAATCTAATTCTTCAATAATTTAAAATTTATTCCATTTTCTTAAAACATTTAAACTAAATATAGGGCTTTTCTTACAAAATAATTAGTGCAAGTAAAGTTGTGATGGTTCTTATTATGCAGAATCTCTTACAAAAATTTGTCAGCCTTGCGACTAGTCTTGTAAAATTTGTGATGGTCCTTACAGTAATAACTGCTTAAGTTGTTAAGCCCCAAAATTTTATCAATAGGCCTCTAAAATTTGTGTATCCTAATGTAATTAAAACTAATTTTAAGATACTAATAATTAAATTTGCTCTTCTTGTGATCCTTCATGTGCCACTTGTTCTGGTAGTAATAGTTTTAACTGTCTGTCTTGCTCATCAAATAAATTTTTATATTTAAACTAATGTATAACTAATTGTCCTGTGAGATTTTACAATAATACTCAGAATAACCAGTGTTTTTAATGTGATTCTAGTTGTTATACATGCAATGGAAGTGCATCTAACAATTGTCTTTCTTGTGAATTATAAAGATATTTTGATCCTTAATCAAACAAGTGCCTTATCTCTTGTAATTCAAATTAATACCCTGATGTTAGTTCTAATTTATGTAAAGTTTGTGATTCTTCTTGCTTAACTTGCAATGGATCATAAAGTTCTAATTGTACAAGTTGTAGATAAGGTAAAATCTAATTCTTCAATAATTTAAAATTTATTCCATTTTCTTAAAACATTTAAACTAAATATAGGGCTTTTCTTACAAAATAATTAGTGTAAGTAAATTTGTAATGGCTCTTACTTTGGAGAATCTGTAACAAAAACTTGTCAAGCATGTGACTAGTCTTGTAAAACTTGTGATGGTCCTAACAGTAATAACTGCTTAAGTTGTTAAGCACCAAAATTTTATCAGTAGACCTCTAAAATTTGTGTATCCTAATGTAATTAAAACTAATTTTAAGATACTAATAATTAAATTTGCTCTTCTTGTGATCCTTCATGTGCTACTTGTTCTGGTCCTAGCAATTTTAACTGTCTCTCTTGCTCGTTAAATCAATTTTTATATTTAAACTAATGCGTTACTAATTGTCCTGTGAAATTTTATAATAATGTTTTGAGTAATCAGTGCTCTCTGTGCGATTCTAGTTGTTATACATGCAATGGAAGTACATCTAATAATTGTCTTTCTTGTGAATTATAAAGATATTTTGATCCTTAATCAAGCAAATGTCTTACCTCCTGTAATTCTAACTAATATCATGATGTTAATTCTAATAAATGTATTTTTTGTGACCCTTCTTGCTTAACTTGTAATGGCCCATAAATATCTAATTGCACAAGTTGTATATCAGGTAAATAAATAATTATTTAAAAATTTAATTAAATTTTTGTAATTTCTGAAAAAATTCAATCTAAAAAAAGGGTAATTTTTACAAAATAATTAGTGTAAATCAAGTTGTGATGGTTCTTATTTTGGAGATACTGTAACAAAAACTTGTCAACCATGCGACTAGTCTTGTAAGACGTGTGATGGACCAAATAATAATAACTGTTTAAGCTGTTAAGCTCCAAATTTATTTTACTAACAGAATAATACTTGTGTCTTTCAATGTAAATTGAATTAATTTTAGGATAGAAATAATTAAATATGTTCTTCTTGTCATCCTACATGTAGTTCATGTACAGGCCCTAACGACATAAGCTGCCTTACTTGTTCTGGGAAAACATTTTTATATTAAAATTAATGTGTTTCTAATTGCCCTAAAAAATTTTTTAGCAACACTTAGAACAATCAATGCACACCATGTGATTCTACATGCTATACATGTGATGGAAGTTCTTCCAATAATTGTTTATCTTGTTAATTATAAAGATATTTAGATCCTGCATTAAATTAGTGTGTCTAAGTATGTAATTCAAATTAATATCCTGATATAATCTCAGATGAATGCAAATAATGTGATATTTCATGTTTATCATGCAATGGACCTTACTCTTCAAATTGTACTAGTTGCAGATAAGGTTAAAAATTATTTCATATCAAATATTAGATATTTATTTTTCTTGAAAATAGGTTTATTCTAACTAAACAATACATGTGTTTAAGACTGCGGTGATAATAATTTTGTTATTCCTTAAACTAATATTTGTTAAAATTGTTATTTAAACTGTAAAACATGTTCTGGACCTTCCTCATCCTAAGTAATTTAATATATAAAATTTTTAGAAAAATAGTAATATCAATTTTTTATATACAGTGTAACTCTTGTTTGAATGGTTTTATCTTTTTGAATAATTCTTGCCATTAAAATTGTCCTTCAAACTATTATGATGATTAATAACAAATGAGAGAGTGTAAGTTGTGTAATTCATACTGCAAGGAAGGATGTGGAGGACCATTAATAGAAGATTGTGATTCAATTAAGTATAAGTATTAAATAATATTGTACATTCTCGCCACTAAAAGTTTTCTTTGGATATTTACATCTATAATTAGTTTTTTCAAGGATAAAAAGTAGTCTAAAGTATTTGTTTAAGTAATGAATCAACCTAATACCATTGAAACTGATAGAGTATCTAAAAGCAATGAAAAAAAAGATAATAATTAAATGTAGATTGACTTATCATAAATTTAATAAACTCCTAATAAAATAAGCATAGAAGAACATATTAAATAATTACAATAACCTAGCAAAATATAAAATTTTTAAGTTTAAAAAGAATTTAACAAAGTTATATAAAACCAAAATTCAAAAAGAAGGCCTAGAAAATTAATAAATAAAAATGATTTTTATTAATAGTCTTAAAAACCTTGCGAATTTTCTTAGATTAATTTATAATCAAATTAACTTTCTATGATTAAAAGCACAAATTAAATTGTTCCTACAATTTCTAATCTAATTACTGCTTCTTAGGTTAAAAACTAAAATGACTTAGAAGTTTAAGATGTTACTTCTATCACATCTAAAAAGTACAGTGCTGATAAACTATTTAAATTTACAATGGTAAAATATTTGATTTTTAAAAATAAATAAACAGGGTTAAAATATTTTAAATTAAAACAATCATTTATTTTTTACCTTCTCTTATTTTGAATAAAAAAATACTTTTATCAAAATTAAAAAGAAAACCCTTGTTTAAATAATTAGTAAAATATTATATTTTTAATTTAGTTAGGAAATGAGTGGGTGTCTTTGTTTTACTTTTATAATTCAATGAATACAAGAGTTATAAGAGCTTCTTTGATTTTTTTAAAATATTAGGCATTTTTCTTAACTTCTGAATTTATTTATCAAGTAAGTTTATGATTATTACAATATTCTAAATTAATTATATTTTAAAGAAATAGTATTCATATCCTTTTCTGAGTATAGCTTTGTTAATTAGTCTGACATTTAAATAGATTTTTAAAGTCATATAGTCAATATTAGCCAAAATAACTTCTAGATTTATAACAGATTTTCTTCTTTTTTTAATAGTAATTTTTGCTATTTATACATATATTTGGTTTATACCTAAGCTTCAGACTTTAAGCTTTTTGAAAGATATAACATGGAGTTTTTATTATGGATTAATTTTTATTACAGATCTTGCTATACTTTAATAATTGTTAAGCTTCTTTTAATATATCTTCACAATCAAATACTTGAATGCTTTAGAAAATAAAGATAAACTGATAAATATTTATAGACTTTTTATGAATGAGAATTTTGTGCAAATAATAAAATGACTAATTCATTTTTGTGTGTATTAATATATAAATAAAACAGTTTAATTTTGATTTTACTTTTGAAAGTTCTTAAAATGTTAAATTTAAAAAATATTAATTATTTTTTATTAAATCTTTAGAAACCATTATTTACTTTTAAAATCAATTAATTTATATTGTAATATTAGATAATTCATACAATAAATAGATAATTTAAACATACCGTAACATATTTTTAAGAAATTGTATTAGTTAGCTGATTTAAAAATTTCAATTTCATAAAAAAAAAGGAAAATATATCTTTCCTCATAAAAAATTTTTGTCATGCCAAATAGATGAATTATAATATATTTTATAAATTATTAAAAGTGTGCTCAATTATTATTTGAAATTTATGATAGTTATAATTATGATATATTTAAACAAAAACAAAAGATTCTTATTTCTTTAGAGATTAAAAATATATTAATCCCACTTGTGCTATAATAATCTATTTATTTTTGTTTTATAATGATTTTTTTAATTAATTATCTCATTTTGATATGTATTTTTAGAATATTTGATTCTAGTATTTTGAGATATTTAAAAAATGCATTATTACATCACTAGAAATAATTAATTATCATAAAATTTAAAGATTTTAAAGGTGGGCTCAATCATTTCGAAATTTATGAGAGTTACAAGTGTGATACAATTACAAACCAACAACAAATTGAATTACTATTTAGATTAAAATATTTAAATAAAATTTGTCTAATTTTAGTAGTTGTAATTATTTTAATATTAAATAATCATTAATCAAAAAATATTAATGTAAATAGCTTAGAAAATAAATTTATAAAATTACTTATCTATTTTTGTTTTATTTTTATTTCTGTAATTCCATTTTGATGTCTATTTTTAGAATATTTGATCATCTAGTATTATAAGATATTTTAAAAATTCATGATTACATCATTAGAAATAATCGCTTATTATAAAATTACGTTTTTATTTAAAGATTTAAAGGTGGGCTCAATTATAATTCTAAATTTATGAGAGTTTTACACGTGATACAATCAATTAATAACCAAAAAATAAATTAGAATTTAAGATATTTAATTAATGTTTTAAAGGTGGGTTCACTTATTATTTGAAATATTTGAGAGCTACAAGTGTGATAAAATAAGGAATCAACAAAAAAAACCTGTTTATTTTTATAATTTATTTTATTTTATTTGTCATGAACCTTATAAGAATGCTAATCTGCTTTTGATTATTATTTCTAATTATAATAGATTATAATTAAATATAACTAAAAATGAGCAATTTAATTCCAAATAATAGCAATAAATATGTAGAGTTCTTAAGGAACTACCCATAACTTTAACAATTTGTTCAGTAACTCACTACTACACTATAGGATATTTCTGAATATGACAATATTCACAAATATTAAGATATAAAAATAAATTAAATATTTAATAATTCAAAAAATCAGTGCCCTTCTAAAATAAAGGATTTGATTAAAGATACTCCTTTACTTGCTATTTTTGAGTTAGTCTAATTTGCTGAAACAAGCTCAAAAGAATTTACTAAACTCTCAGAAACTACACTGAAATTATAAGAATAATAAAAAGCTTCAATAAATCGTGAAAACGAATAACCACTTAATTAGAAATAAGGTGATGAGATAAGTAGTTTAGAGAAATAAATTATAGAACTTGAGGCCTATAACAATTAATACTAAAATAAATTATAATTTATGGAATAATAAAATTAAAATTATGCTTAATAAATTACTGAGTTAAAATAAAAAAACGAATAAATAGAGTTATTTAACAATTCTTACAAACAAAAATAATTACTCATGAAATAATAAAATGGAAAAAATGATTAATGCATTAATCAGTTGCAAGAGGAAGAAGTTGACAATTAAAATGAATCTCAACCCCAAAATAATAAACAACAAAATGGTTACGATATGATTATATAAATGAATTCTGTTTTTGATTTATAATGTGATTTTTAAAAATAATTAAAGTGATTAAATTCAAAGCATTATTCCTTAAAACAGTATATTTGAAGAACAAAAAAATGAAGCCCCATAGATTTTTGATAAGAAATTATAAGGACTGAAAATATAAACATTTAATGACAAAAAAGATTTGTGTTTTTTAAATGTAGTAATCACTGGAATAATTGGTTATAACTTGAAAGATACAAATTTTATTCTAAACTAATTATCAAATGCATAATTCCCTTTAGATAATCATGTCAGCGCTCCTAGAATCAGGATTAAATATCATAGCATAAATAATTAGAACAGAGTATATCTGGATTCAGAAGGTCTTGGCATACCAGCAACTTTTGACTATAAAAATAATAAGGACTATCTAACCTACATGGATAACAAAAAAAACAATGACTGTCCAGATTAAAAAAGCTTCGAAAAATTATAACAATAGATTTCAAATAGACACTTAGATCTCAAGGCAACACAGCAAATACAATAAGGTTTTATTATTGAACATTCAAATTTAATAATTTTAGTCATTTCTGAATTGACACAAGATGATTAAAATCTGATTGATTAAATTTCATCCCAATTTGGGAACATTAAAAACTGCTCTAAGTAGAAGAAACTCATAGTAGTTCATAATTTGAAAGATCATCATAGACCAAATTATGTTAAAAGTTATATTCAAGAATTGAAAAAAGTTTTTCCTCTTATAGAATAATAAATAAATAGTTTTGATTAGGCAGATAAAGATAAAGATGATAGTAACATTGTATATGTTGATGAAACAAAATCTTATATTAACCATATAATTATGGTTAATTCAGACAGAGAAATAAGAGAAAAAAACAACAAATTTGTAATCTAATATTTACATTAGTAGATTTAAAATTACTAAGACTATATTAATTTTAATGTCCCAATAAAGCTACGTGAATATCTTAATAGAAATCTTTAGAGATATGTAACTTTAAAAAAGGAATCAGATGATGCAAAGTCCAATCCATAAATAAAAGACTTCTTAGAGTACAATAGTGAAAAGCAAGCTATAATGCTAAATCAAGGCTATATAATTGATAGAGTCAAAGAACTTAAAGCTAATGTGCTTGTATCTCTTTAAGAAGATTGCTCATATTCAATAGTTGATAATGATGAGAAAAAAGAACGCTATTTGTTGGTAGAAATACCTGGTACAGCAACACTCTAGAAAGAATTTTTAAAAAAATAAGGGCAGTTTATAATAACAATTTAACAAAGTAGTGATATAGAGAATTAACTTGGTAAAATTGAAGAATCAACTAGGAAATTAGATACGAAATAGTATACAATTTAAATTTGCAATTAAAACGAGCTGTGGGATTATCAAAATGACAAATAAGAAAATTTAAATAATGGAATTTATAAATTTGTGTTTACTGAAGATAAATATTATATTAAATAATGATAACTAATAATTATAATAATCATATCTAACTTTATATTAATTTATATATAATAGATACATAATATTATTCATATAAACATTTTTTAAATATCTATTTGCTTTAGATAATTATAAACTGAAATATTTCTTATCAATATTAAAAAAATAAAAAATTATAAATAAAATTTTAATTTGCTTAAAAATAATAATATAATAATAATTCAATTTCATATTTGATCTATCAAAAATCATTTATTTTGTATTGTTGATAATATTTAGATCTTAAAAATACTAATATAATTGAATAAAAAATTAAATTTTTATTATATATATAAATATAACTATTTGTAAATTTAATTTTTAGTAGTTAATGTTTAAAAACAAAATTTTATTTAAAATAAGATTTGCTCTTTAATTGATTTATAACTCTTACAAATAAATTTAGAAAAAAGTGTTTCATTAAATAGTTTCTAATCTTTTATGTAAAATTTTTAAGATTTTCAATAAGAAAAACAAACTAGTCTAAATAAATTTCATTCAAAAATGAAAGCAATTAAAAATTTAGAAAGTTTTATATTTTTCTATTGCAATTCATAAAATACTTCCGCATTTAAAATATTGAAGAGGGTTTCTAATTTTTTTTATTAGATATTTTATATGATGCCTTGTTTTTATTCTTATTTTTAATAAAAACTACTTTTATCAAAAATAAAAAGAAGACCCTTGTTTAAATAATTAGTAAATATTATATTTTTAATTTAGTTAGGAAATGAGTGGGTGTCTTTGTTTTACTTTTATAATTAAATAAATACAAGAATTACAAAAGCCTCTTTGATTTTTTTAAAATACTAGGCATTTTTCTTAACTTTTGAATTTTTTTATCAAGTAAGTTAATAATTATTGCAATATTCTAAATTAATTATATTCTAATGAAATAGTATTCATATCCTTTTCTTAGTTTTGATTTGTTAATTAGTCTGATATTTAAATAGATTTTTAAAGTCATATAGTCAATATTAGCCAAAATAACTTCTTGATTTATAAAAGGTTTTCATCTTTTTTTAATTGTAATTTTTGCTATTTACACATATATTTGGTTTATTCCTAAGCTTCAAACTTTAATTAAGCCTTTTGAAAGATACATAAAATTTTAATTATGGATTAGTTTGTATTATAGATATTGTTATGCTTTAATTCTTGTTAAGCTTCTTTGAATATATCTTCACAATCAAATATATAATTAGCTAAATATTCTAACAAACCAAAAACCTTAATCCTTTGAAAAAATATATAAAAATACTTAGAATCTTAATTAATTAAAATAATTGAGATTCTTCTAAAAAAAGAAGAAGTAGAGAGAAAAAAATAAAGAAAAAAGAAGAGAGTGAATGCCTTGTGGATATATTGAAAGTGATTGTGCTCACGAAGCTTCAAAATATCTATAACTCTATTTTCCTGTGCTCAATGCAAAAGATGGCACCCACTAAAGAGTTGTAAATGGTTTACTTAGATGTGGATGTGGATTAGTGTTAAGGGCGAAAGAGCTATTTAATTGGGCAAAATAGCAAGGTAAAATTGTTAATGCACTAGGAAGTGGTCTCTACCTCGTTTATGAAGAAAATACCGAAAATGGTCAAGGTCATGTTTATGTAATTCATAATCATCAAAAATATGGAAACGGCAATTATAACTGGGATAAATCAAAATATAGAGTTTATATTTAGCTAAAATGAAGATAAAATATCTTGATACAATATATTACTTTTGGTAACTTAGGTAAGTAAAAACTTTTTTATTAACACTATTGAATCCTAAGATGATATTCTTATTTATAATAATAACCATAAAATTTAACCATCCTAAATCAATTTTCACTTTTATGTCCTTCCTAAAGTTACAGAAGAATTTTTTATCAAATAATTGTCGCTAAATTAATATATGAGCTCCCTAAACAATATCTGCTCTCATGCCAATTAATTTTTTATTCATCACGCATAGCCAAGAAATAAATCTGATCCGAAATATGAACAGAAACAGAGAAATCTACAGGTTTAAATTTTGAAAATGAAAAAATACTGCATCATATGTCATAGATAAGAAATTCAATTAAATAAAATGACTTTTTAATATTATTGATAATACTTCTTTATTGAGTAATTAATATATGTGATGGCTATTTTATATTAATCTATTATTTCTTTTATAAACTATATAAATAAAAGAATATATCTTCACAATCAAATACTTGAATGCTTTAGAAACTAAAGATAAACTAATAAATTTTTTTGTGTATTAATTTTTAAATAAAAAAGTTTATTTTGCTTTTACCTTTGAAAGTTCTTAAAATGTTAAATTTTAAAAAATATTCATTATTTTTTATTAAATATTTATAAACTATTATTTACTTTTAAAATCCATCAATTTATATTGTAATATTAGATAATACATACAATTAATCGATAATTTAAACATACCGTAACATATTTTTAAAAGGAATTTTATTAGATAGCAGATTTAAAAACTTCAATTTCAGATTGTTTTTATTTTCATATTTTTTTAAAGAAACTTAAATATTTTAAACTTATTTTGTTTTTAAATTAAATAGTAAGAATTTATTATTAATTATCGATTAGATTTATAAAAAGACATAATAAATTTTTGTATTTTTTGAAAAAATAAAATAAAATGGTTTGTTGTTGCAAACATATTTAATTTATAAGCTTTACAATGTTATTTTATTATTTTTAATTGAAATAAATATAAATTTTATTAATATCAACCAAAATTTGAAAAATCAATTATTATCTTAACTTGTTCTATTTGATTCTTGATTTACAAAAATGGTAGATTTGTTGAAATTCTCTTCTTTTGTAAGTCTTTCTTCAAGGTATGCTTTTATTTATTTATTATTAAAATATTCTAAGGATTTAAGAAATAATTAATTACTTTGAGATTTTGCAAAAGGAAGAACAATAAGTTTATTATAAATTAAATTTCCAGTAACTAAAATTATGAAACCAATAGCCTCAACAATTATTGGACCTACATTTACATTTTCCCATTAGTAATTTTTATTATCCTATCCAGCTGTCAAAGTAATTATGATAGCAACAATCCAAACAGCTACAGTTCTTGTAACATCTACTACTGATCTGGCTAAGGAAGAAATGTGCTTAGTGATGCTTACACCACAAACATTAAAGCAAGCAATAGTAAAAACACCTAATACGATATAGAATCCTAAAAGAGCTATTTTTGATTGTTTTATAAGATCTTTTTAAATAATATTTTTTTAATAAATAAATAAATTACGGAAATCAGCAAACTATTAGAAATATTGCACTGGGTTTTCAATATGATAGCTTCCATTATATTCCATGCATAAATCTTTTAAGCTATCCTTTTTATTTTCATTTATATTTTACTTAAAACAAATGAAAATTAATATATTATTTTACTTTTGAGCATGGGACTAAAGCTAAGATTGGTAATAAAATAGCATAAAAGCATAAACCCCAAATACCTTCAGTTCCAACTACTTACATAGGATGAAGATAATACTTAGAAAACAATTTTTCTTCAGAAACAAACAAAATGCCATTTGTGAATAAGGAGATAAGTATAAGAATTATAGCAATCAATGCCATAGTTGGATCAACCTAATTAATTAAAAAATAATTTATTTTATCATTCAAATTTAAAAATAAAATAAAATAAAATTTTTAAACAAAAATATTTGAGATTTTTAACCATTTAAATTCTTTGTTAAAAAATATCTTTTAATGCGAATTAATTTATCATTCATCAAATATTTAATTTTAATTTCAATCCATATAAAATAATGTAAGTTTATTATAAATTATTAGAGATATCTTTTTTTATTCATATTATCAAATTTGTCCATTAAATTATATTAAAAATAACTTAATGCAAATAATAAGATAAATTTTTTACATCATCAGAGTTTGAGGATTTAGGGAAGATGTAATTTACTGAGCCAACTAGAGTGATTCCTATAATAACCAATCCACATCCTATGTAGTTATGGAGATATATCTTTCTCTTTAAGAATACAACTGAAAATAATGCAGTGACTAATATAACACCACCTCTTAACATTTAGTAGAGAGAAGGAGCCATATAGTTTAACGCTATGTAATGCAATATTGAAGTTAAGAAATCGGCAAATGCTGGTATAGCTAATAAAAAGTAGTTCATTTTTGTGTTCAATCCCTTCAATTAAGCTTATCTCTTTTCCTCTTCTATTTGCTCTCTTTTAAATTTTTTCATGTACAAAAACATGAAAATGCAAATAAATTCACCAAAAAACATAGTCACAGACTACATAAATGGGTGGTTAAATTTCTAGCCAGGAGCTACTTCAAACGAATTTTAAAGCTTATAAACTATTATTTTTATAATAAAATATTAAAATTAGCCGAAGCATCAGCAGGAGTAATTCTATAACTCGTCAAAACAAAAAAAAGAAACATTATTGTTATAAAATAGAAATTTTATTTATAAACTAGAAATAATTAAATTTAAGCAACTATAAAATAATTCAAATATATTTTTAAATTACCTATAGTGTTACAAGCTCCAGAAATGATCATGCTTACAAGAAGCATTATAATAAATCCTTTAGTTACTTCCATCAATTATTTTTGTTTACTCTACTTTTATTCAATTTTGTGCTATATTTATTAATTTAATGTAAAAAATATCTTAAATAAACAAAATCACTTTTTAATTACAACTAGCCTTAATATACATACCTCTATAACTAAATTATTTTCAATTTTATTTAAAAATATAGTCTCTTATCCATTCAGTAGTCTTATAGATAGAAAGTAACCAAAAAAATTCTAAAATTGATTGACTTTAAAAATAAATTTAGCTATCAAATTTAATTTTAATTTTTTCAATTTTCTTTACTTTTTCATTTAGATTATTCAAATATATTTCTACATCAATTAAATTATAATTTTTAAAATGATTATCTTTTGTTGCTCTATTTAAAAAATTAATATTAACTTATCAAAGATAAGTTATGCCTATGATAACGAATAATAAATATCTTGTAAAAATTTTTAATTGATTTTGTTTAAAGAAATATATTTAATAAAAAGATAATATTTAAATTATTGATAACTTTTTTTGCTGAATTTAATAAATTTATACAAGCTTTCTAAGATTTAATCTACTCTTAGATAATAAAAAAATGGATCAATTTATATATTTAAAAATAAAATTTTATTTTTCTTTCTTTCATTTAGTTTCTAAACAATTTAAGTAAAATTAAAAAATATAAACTGTAGTTCCTCAATAAAGATGAACCTCATTGCAACAAAATTTTTACTATTTTGGAAGCTGACAGAAAATTATTAAAATTAGAATTTTAATACCTGCAAATAATTATTTAGGAGGTCACACATTAATTACTAAATACCTAAACAAGAATAAAAAATAAATAATAATTTGTTTGATTGCAATAACTAGAAAATTTTTTGAAGGTTATTTGTTAAATATATAAAATTTGAGCAGAAAAATTATTAAAATTAGAATTTTAATACCTACAAATAATTATTTAGAATGATAAATAATTAAAAATCTACCAATTACTTACTCTTGTTAATTACATACAATTTATTTAAATTAAAGTGTTATTTATTTGTTTAAATCAAAAAAAAAAAAGATTCATTTATAATTAAAATTTCATGAGAAATTAACTTAGAAAAATAACAGATATTTATTTACTTTTTGAAGATGAAAAAATTTAATTTTATGCTATTTTTGATGCTAGTTTTGAACTATTATTTGATAGTTTGGATATTAGTATAATATAATATAGACGGGTATTATATACTTTTTGTAGTTTTACTTTGCTTTTTATCAGTTGAAAGAATATTTAGTATTATTAGAGGTACTTTTGCCCATACTTAAGAGAGTTAATAATTAGATATCGGATTAATGAAAAGTATAGCTTTGAACTTGATTTTTTTTGATTATAGCATATAAATTGATAGCAACTAGGAATAATCTGATGATTAATTAAAAAATGACTAGAATTACTTATTTAACTTAAATTTTTTGGCACACTGCTTGAATCATATACCAATTATTTTCAATATTTATATCTTACTAAATGAATCAACTTAAACGTTATAAAGCTATAATATTTATCTTGCTATTACGATTTATGGAATTTCTCATTAAATTATCATAGATTTTATTAATTATAAATTAACTCAGAGACATCATAGATTTGTCCTTTTGTCAATTTATAGATTTATTTAAAATGGATGTAAAAAAGTATGTTTTTTTATGCTGATAGCTGTTTTAATTAATTACAGATTATCTTATCTTTTACTATATATTATTTACTTACTTCGCTATGTTTATTCTTTATTCTAAGCTGAAAGTGTAAAATCTTTGGAATTACTTCCTATTTTACAAATACAATATGTATTCAGTTCACAGCTACTAAGTAAGTATGACATCAAAGCAATTCACTTTCTAAGATCTAACCTTTTTTAATATTTAATGCTTATGTTATTATTAATAATTCATCTAAGCATCAATTAAGCTCTTGATATTTACAGTAATAGAATAATTTATGCAACTTTTATAGCTAATACTTTCGAAATATTATCCTCTGTGGTTTCTTATTATTTATTCTTAAAGAAAGGCCCTTTAAAATTTAAAATTGGCATAACAGTTGAAATGAAAAATTACAAAAAGAAAATATCTAATCTAATTAGATTATTACATTAAAAAAAGTTCAGTCTTTTTTTTAGTATGTTTATAAACTTGTAAAATTATAAAATTTTTTAAACTGAGGAGCTAATTGATATAATAAAATATGTAATGCATGGATCAATATTTTATCACCTTAAAGTGAGAAATTTAGATTCAAATAATTAAATAACTAACTTAATAACTTTAACTTCTTAAAAGGATTAATTATCAATAGAAATAGAAAATATTAAAGAATTTAATTAGCTTTAGATTTTAATTTCTTATTTTTTATAAAATATCTTTTCCTCTAAGTAAATCAATATAAAAATAAACTAAATATTAGAAATTTAATTACAAAAACTATTTGTGTAAGAGCTATGCAGCTATTATCCTAACAAAATTATTATTAATGATGTTAATTAAAATGATTTATTTAGTTTTTGGTATTCTTAGTAGTTAAGTATGACACTATTTTATAATAAATTCAGTAACTTTATTCCTATCAATCCAACATATTTGCTCTATGATTTACATGAATGAAAAAAATCTAAAAAATAAAAGCATATTATTACAATTTTTTATTGGCAGATAAATTAAAAAAAGAAAGCATTATAATAAAAACAAAAAATGATCTAAATCTATCAAATTAACTAAAGAATTATGAGTTTAATTAAATAATATAAATGATTTATTAAAATATTTTTTAATTAATTTTTATATTTAGAAATTATTATTTTAATAATATTAATTTTTTTTAGATTGAATTATTAAAAATCAAAAAAAATTAGACAAAATTTGGAAAAAAAAGTTTTTCTTAGTTTTTTTAATTTATAAGAAATTACAGTATTTAAATTAATAAAAGTAAAAGCTTATGTTTTTTGTGTTAGTAAATAGAATAAAAATACCTCAATATTCATTTAAATAATCTATTATTATTGTTATGTGATTAATTTACAAGAAAAAATATATTTTTTTTATCAATATTTATTAATATTTTTGAATAAAATATTTATTATTAGCTAGTAAAAAAGTAAATAAATGAATTGTATTATTTAAGATTTTTAATTTAAATATTAATTTAATTTTTATTTATTTTTTTCAAAAATAATTTAAAGAAATAAATAAAGATCTTAATTTTCATTTCTTTAGCTTTTTAAATGTGTATAATTTTGCAGACCTAGATTTACTATTTTTTTAGAGCTCATTTATATCAGGTTTTTCTCCCATTTGAAGGATTTCTATATTTTTTTATCTTTTCTGTTTAATAAAATAAAAATTAAATACTCGAACTTCTATCTATCTGTTGATTACCAAATCTCTGAGTTTTTATTCTACTATGTTTTCTTCAAGTGAATGAAAAGTGATAATTATTCCAAGTCCATCTTTAAGTAATTTATCATATATTTTGTCCATAAATACTTGCAAATTAGTTAATTCTTAATTAGTGGCAATTCTTAGAGCTTGGAAGAGTTTAGTTATTGCTTTATATTGTCCACCTTTGAAAGAGTATCCGCTTTAATCTTCAAGAATGAGGTCAACAACATCCTTAGTAGTTTCAAATGGCTTAATCTATCTTTGTTTTATGATCATTTGACTAATTACGTCTGCATTAGGATCTTCTCCATATTAACGGATTATTTCAAAGAGTTCTAAGTAACTAGCTTTGTTTAACTTAAATTATTGTATATAAAAAGAAATATTAGTTTCTTAACAAATTTAACATTTTTAAATTTAATTTTTATATTATTTACTATATCAGCTGCAGAGTTAGTCTGAGATGATTAGTTGTATCTCATATCAAGCTTTCCATTTCGCAAATATGAGAAACCCCATTCTGAATTTTCTAGATGAAGGCTGTATAAATAATTTATAAAATTTATATCTAATATAAAAAATTTATGTATAAAATTCTATTTTGAAGCAGAAATGTGTCAGTCAATTAGTGGGTTTAATTCATTCCTTCTAATTAGTGGCTGACAACTAAAGAATATTTTTGGAAGGATAGTTTAAAAATTCTATTTTGGGAGATTATCTGGTGGGGGGAGAGACTAGATAGACTTGTGTTTGTTAGATAATAAATTAAATCTAATAAATAAATTATGCTTCCAAATGTTAGGAATAATAAAAATCGATTACTATCAAAACAATTAATTAATCAATCACTATTTAAATTAATCAGAATTCTAAAAGAAAAAAAGAATATTTAAATTTATCGAATAAGATTATATCTCTTAATTTTACGTGTTGTATCCAAGATCTGCAAATATCGCATGAAAATTTTTATAGGAAGGAAATTCCTCTTCAAAAATTTTGTAGAGATTTATTTTATCAATATTAGTAAAGTTTTCATTTCTAGTTTTGAATCGATTTTGATCGCTATGAGAAAGTTAGCTCTTAACATTATCATTTATGTATTAAAGCATTCTAGGATCTAGGTCAAGCCCAAGACTATTTTATTTTTAAAACAAGCACTTAGTTAAAACAAAAAGTAGTTAGCAATTTCAAAAATCTTTTAACAGAATTATGAATCTCTCAAAAGAAAAATTAAATTCTTTTTGAGATTAGCTTAAATTTAACATGGTGATATTTCGTTTTTTTGAAGCCATTGACTTAAACTGTTTAAATTTTGATAGTATATATAAAGCTTAAAAGTTATTGTTGTAAGTAGACTTTTGAAAATATTAAAATTTATTTAGGCATCTAAGTAAGATTAATATGTTTGTAAGCTAATAAATTCAAAAATTTGTGGCAAATAAGTTAGCTAAAAATCAAATTTTTTTGTTTTTTACATGTATAAGTAAGGGAATTTTTGTAAGAAATGTTTGGCATGACCTGCTGAACCAAGAGTGCAATCAACTAAACATTTTTCAGCTTTTTTAAAATAAAACACTCTTAGTAATTGAGTATGAAATAATTTGAAAGAATAATTAATTTAAATAAGTGGAATTTAGTTTTATTTTGCAATTCATGTTTAAATTACAGTGACTAGAAGAATGAGGATAGAACTCTTCTTGTAAAACTTAAGTTATTTTGTCGATTAATACTGGATAATGCACTTTATTTGTGGCAGTATCGAACAAAATATCATCATTATGCTAAATAGCTTCTTCATCAAGAGATGAATTTTATTTTTTTTAGCTTTATTGCTATTAAATCATTTATTCTACTTTTGACAATTTTTATCCTTTCTTTTCTTACTAAACCTTTTTAGATAGAGATGAGAGCTTGTTCTCAAGACCCTCCTGCTTAATGAAATTAAAGAGAGAATATTAGATTTGCTAATTTAGTAGTTTTGAAGATTATTAAAGCAATCTATATTTTAAGTTGGTTGAGTGAAACAGGTTTATCATTTATTATAGGTTTAAGGATTGTAATAATTTTCGCAATTTGAGATGTCTGCCTACTTTTAAATTTTATATTTGCTTTACTACTTGTGTTAAAATAGAAATAAGAAAATATTTATGATTGATTATTCCTAGGAGGATTATTGAATTGAAAAGCTTTCTTGCAGTAGTATTAATTTACTCTATATCTTAAAGTATATCTGTCTGTCTGTATGTATCTATGTCTATCAAGGTTAAAAGTAAAATATACTTTACAACCAATATTCCCATAATTATTTTAAAATTTTGAGCATTTAAATAGAAACTTCTAAATCATATAAAGATCTTATAAAATATGGATTAAAATTATGCAAGAATTAAGTTTAGAATAAAAAAATTAGTGGATTACAAATTTTGTAATTTTTGATGGAATTATGTATCTTTTATTTGTTGATTAACAAAGTCAATAAAATCAAAAGCTGCAAAACATAAAAATTGGCTAATAGCTCTTTTATTTACAATAAAAAAGAGATAAATCATCTAATTTTCAAGTTATAAGCTTCTATTTTTGACATCTTTTTTTGTAATATATTGCTTTTTAATATCATTTTCCTTTTATTATTAGTTTAACAATTAAAAAAAGTATCAATTTTGCTAAAAATTGAATTAATTTTTAATTTTTAAAATTTATATATTAAAGTCTTTTATTAACCTAAATTTATGAAAAAGCTGTGTTATTTGTAGCTTTGTTGTGTGAAAAGTGACTATTATAAATTATATTGAAGCCATTTCATTTAATATTATTTAAAGTTAAAAATTTAACAGAATGGATTTTTTTTGAGTAAACACAAAAGAAAAAAAATTTTCTCAATTAAATTTAGAAATTTTAAGAAATAATTAATCAAAGATATAGCAGAAGAAAGATATATTTTTATATGAGGAAAATAGTATACCAATAAATATTACAAGATATTGAATACTAAATTTTGATAAAAGTCAATCATAAGTGAATGTGCGCATTAAGATAACTAATATTTAAAATAAGCAGAAGATCCAATCAATCAATAAATTAAATAAAATAAAAAGTGAATGAATGAATGAATAAACAAATAAATTACTAAGCTTTTGTATAATGTGTTTGTTGTTTGATGCTTAATTGTCTTTGGATCTTACAAGAAAAAGAAAGAAAAAGAAAAATAAAAAAAGAAGAAAGAAGAAAGAAGAAAGAAATAATAAATAAATAAAGAAGATCGTTTCTTATAAAAAAGTGAATTAAAAATAAAAATATCGATCTTTGTAATAATAAATATTTAATTTGAATAAATATTATTAATTTTTAAGAAAAGCAGATTACTAAATCAATAAAATAATCAAAAATGGCTCAATCTTTAAAGCTTTAACCTTTAACCAGTCTTGGAACACCCAACAACGTTCTTTCTGACGACTACGTTCACGGTACCTTCGAAACCTACAAGTTCAAGGCCAGCACCACCAACGGAGGTAAGGTTGACTACAAGGCTAAGGTTGCCACCGCTCAAAAGGATGGTAAGCTTGCTGTCAAGGTCAGTGATGAAGGTAAAATCTAATTCCCCTTCCTCGACAAGTACACCTTCTAATTCTGTTAGAGAAGATCTGGTGATGTCAAGCTCCACTTCGACTTGGGTAACTACACCATTTCCGGTAAATCATGGAACTTCTTCACTAACGTCAAGACCGATACCACCTTATCCAAGTTCAATTTCAGATTAGGTACTAACTACTTTGGTAGCACTTGCGAATCTAACACCAGATTAGAATTAGTCCCTGGTGATGCTCCCGTCCTTACTCACAGAAACTACATCAAGAAGGGATCTATCTACTACGGTGGTGTCTTCTCCCTTAACCTCTAAGCTTTAGCTTTAAAGAGATACGACGCTCTCTTTGGTTACGTCAATGATAAGTATGAAGCTAACCTCAAGCACGAATCTGACAACAAGGATACCAAGGATTTACAAGTAACTTTTATTTAAAAACAGCTATCTCAAATAGCATAAATATTCAATGAAATTAAGTAGAAAAGACATGTTTTTTTTATCAGGTTTTTAAATAATTTTAAATATTGCTTAGACATTTCAAACTTTCAAATAAGATATGACAAGAGATACTCATAAATAAAAAAATATATTAAAAAATTATACACATAACCAATCTTCAATCTATTTTTTTTTGATAGCAAGCAATAGAATTAATTATACAGTAAATATCTATGTTTGTTTGTTAATCAAACAATAAAGAAAAAATAATTGAAATATCAGACAAACAGACAGACACAGTTAAGTAGGACTTTAAAAGCAAATTATGATAATCAAATCATTAAATTTATTTTAATAAATGAAATGTCAGTCGAAGCAGCATAAATATATGGTAAAATAAGAAGTCTATCCATAGGGGTATTTTTGACACTCATTTTTCAAAATTTTAAAACATTTTAAAATTTTGAAAAATGAGTGTCAAAAATACCCTATGGGATAGACTTCTTATTTTACCATATATGCATAAACAGAGCTAAACAAATTTAATAAATATTAAAAGCTTAGGATTAGAAAATTTTTTAAAAAGAAAAGCTAGTAAAATAAATTAATAAATAAATAAACAAAAAACAGATTTTAAAATTCAAAAAATCTTAAATGACACAATAATCCTATTCACATCAATTCCAATAAAAAAAATCACGTCACTTTTATCTCCTTAAATTTTTAAAATCTCTTAATAATTAATTATTCTTTTCGAAGTTTAATTTCATAAAAGTCATTCAGCTCTCATTGTATAAATAAATTTAATTTAATAATATAGGTTGGTACTCTTACTGCTACTGTTTCTTACTTCCACGATGCTAACACCAAGCTTGCTCTTGAAGTCTAAAACAAGGGTCACAAGTTATAACCTACCTTCACCGTTGGTGCTCAACGTAAGGTTAACAGCGACTTGACTGTTAAGGGTAAGGTCAACAACAAATTAGATTTATCTTTGGCCTCTAAGTACGCTCTTAACAGACAATTCACCCTCACTGCTGGTCTCCAATTAGCCTTAAACGAAAAGAACATTGTTGATTTCAGCAAGTTCCCTCCCGTCCCCTTCGGTTTACAATTAGAAACCAACTTTTGATTTATATTAAGAGCTAATCTAATTAGTTGTAAGCAAGCAAGCAATCAAGCAATACATATATAATATATAATTCATTCTCACTTTAAGTGTTAATTTATATGTTATATAAAGAGCTATCATTATTTTTATTACTTTAATTAAAATTAAAAATACATTTTGCTTCATTTATTTTACTCCTTCTTGATTAGTGATTGATTGATTGACTGATTATTAATTAGTTATAAATCAATCTAAAACACCAAACAATTTCGTTTCTTTAAAACCAATTTTATTACATTTATACTTTATGTTTCTGCATTGTAAAAAATAATAAAAAAGTAGTTGGTAAGATATGATAATGATATTACTTAACAAAATAAACTCAAAAAAATTAGTAAATTACAAAAAAAATAAAAAATTTTTATAAACTAAAATTAAAATAAAATGTAAATATTAAAATTTAGAATTGCAAACTACCTTCAGTTCTCTTGAATAAGAAAGATAATTTGTAATTAAGATTAAAATTTTGTTCCAATAATTATTTTCATTCTCTTCTTATTTTAGAATGAAATTTTTCTAAAATATTTTTTTTAATTTATTGTTATTGAAATTTATAGTCAGTCACCATAATTTATTTTTCAATATTTCAAAAAAATTTAATATTTGTAATAAAAAAGAAATTTTTATTGACCACTCTAAATAAAGAGAATTCTTTGATAAGACAATTTTTAAGCAAAATAATAATTTTTTATTTTAATTCAAGATAATAGATGATATATTTTAATGATAATAAATTGGATTTTTAATACCTTTAATCTAATATAAAATAATTATGTTTAATAAATTTATTACAATAAGGAAATTTAATCTTAAAAATGATTTAGTTTATTAAATCAATCATTTTTTTAAAATAACAAAATACAAAAATTTTTAGTAAAATTTAAATTAATTAGGAAAAAATATCGTAATTTATTTTAAGTATTATTAAAAATATAATTCAATTCTCTTTTTTGGAATATTCCAATCAAAAATTGAAAGAGAGCTAATTCATTTTAACAAAAAAATAAAATAAATACCTTTTATTTAAATTCAGATTTAAAAAAAAAATTAAAAATGATTAATTCTTGTTTATGGGATAAATTTATTTATAAAAGATCCATTCTTTTTCTATCAAATATTTAAGTAATCTATAAAATATCAGGATTATTAATTCCATTCATATATATTTAATTACTTGACCTTTTGAGAATTGTGATTTAAAGATAATTATTTCTTCATTTACTTTAACAATCAATAGAATATCTTAATTATTAATGTCATAAATATATATTTAATATATTGGCCTGTTAAGGTTTGTTATTTAAATAAGTAATAATAATTCTCTCGAGCAAAAAAATATTTTGTTAAGATAAATATTGCCTTCTAGATACTTCAAAGCAGCTCTTTTATTCAATATCCTAATTAAATCTATTAATCTAACTTAAATATTAAATTTTTAAATTTAGTTTAATAAAGGTATAGTTATAAATCAATTTTCAAATTTTTGAAGATTTAAGATCCTTGTAAATATAAAAAGCTATTTCTTGATTTTTAAGGATAAGCAATAATATTGATTTTAAATTAAAATTTCAAAATAAGAACTAAACTTTGACTTTGGGTAATCCTAAATTACTATTTAATTCTAAGCTTATAATTAAAATTCAGAAAAATAATCTAAATGCAAAGCAACCATACTATCTTCAAGTAAATTTTGTAAAGATACTTTAGCATTAATTTATTGTATTTTTAATTTAACTAAAAGAAATAAGAATTAAAATAAATTTTTTTAAAGAGAATAAAATCTATTAATATGTTAGTATTTATTTATTTGATCTATAATTTTATAATGGCTAGTTATCCAAATTTTAAAGCTTGTTTCGAAATTTTAGTAAAATAAAATTTCATTTTTATTGCAAGAAAAATAAAATCACACAATTAATTTACTATTGTTTGTTAGCTAAATAAGCAAATAAACATATTTTGTCTAACAAAGCATTTAAGTTTATAAAGACTTTAAAATTTTCTTAAAACTAATTAATTTATAAAAAAAAGACTTAAAGAAAATTTGAAGAATCCCAAAAAAAGACTTAGGAAAAATTTTAGATTAAAAAATATTGATTGAAGTCTTAGGAAATTTAATAAATAGTAGAGATGGATACTTAGCAATCAACAGTAATAGTTTCATATTATTAAACTAGTAGCTTCATTGAAATATAAAAGCTACATTGAAACCTTACAGCTGATAACGCTTTTATTAAAATAAATTTAGAGCAATAGAAGAAAGAAATTGGTTATTGATGACGATGAGGACGATGAACCCCAAACTATTGCACCAAAATAGCCTGAAAAAAGTATTAAAATTTATATTTCAAAATTGTTCAGAATTAAGAAATAAATTGCATTTATATGAAATAGAGGAGTAGCCTAAGGAATCAGCTGAAGTAAGTGCTCCCTAACCTAATAAAAATTTGAAATAGGAGAATGGGAATGGCAAAAGTGTCTAGAATAACTAGCAAGCCAAGAACAATTCCGATTTAAACAAAAAAGTTCAAGAAAAGGTGCAAAGAAAAGACTAAGAAAAAATCTAAAACTCTTCTTAAAAGATGGAAATTGAATCTGATGGACATGCTTCTGACAGAGACCTTTTCATTGCTGATGATTCTAATTCCTAAGGTAAAGCAGGCAGAAAATGAATTTGAAAAAAAATTGCCAAGTTTTTCTTTTTATTTAGATATTGCTTGCTATCTATTTTTTTGTTAGCAAAAAATATATGAAATAAAATTAATTACTGTTTAGTAAATAAATTCATTATCATATTGATTGCAAAGTATATAGATATTAATTAATTAATTAATACACAATTAGTAGCGCCAAATTAATTAATGACTAATAATCAATTCTTTGCAAATTCAATGAATTATTTTATAGAATGTTTTTTAAATAAAAATGTTTTGAAAAATCAACAAATTAATTAAAAAGGAAATTCATTTTACAATTTATTTATTTTTAGCATTTCAATTTATTAATTTTAAATTTTAATTTAAATTAAATTAAAGATATTCAAGAAATCAGAAACAAGTATGGATGGAAGCCTAAATAAGCTCCTTAATCTGCCCCTAAGCAATCAAAGCCTTCTTCATCTTCTTCATCAGGTTAGAAGAGTACTTCATCGTAAATAAATATTCATTAGCAGAGAAAGATCAAAAATTTAATTTTTGAATTAATTAAATAAAATAAATTCATTTTTATTATTTATCAAAAAAATTATGAAATTAATTCTAAATGAACAACAATATTCTAATATTTCATTATAAAATATTCATAAAATTAAATTGTTTAATAAAAAGCTCCCGTAATAGAGAAGAACCTGTCAGAAAGGGTAAGGATACAATTGTGTATGAAATATTAAAGAGATGGTGGTATGCATTACCTGACTGGCCTCCAGCTAATTACAATTACTCTTCTGCTCTTGAATAGAATAAGCTACGTGTAATAAATAAGTAGAAATTCAGAATAGAACCAGATTTGGATGAAAGAGGTAATATATATATATATATATCTATAATTCATCATATTTTAATAATAAAAAAAATAATACTCAAGGTTTTTTGAAAGTGTACGAAATTTTAGGATTCTAAGGAATGTACAAAGATGCTAATGTAATTAATATATTACTAAATGTTAAATAAGAGTATTAAGTTTTATTTATTTTATTAAAATTTAGAATAAATTATACGACTTGAGACCTTAAGAAGGAAAGCCTAGCTACAACAACTTGTCAAGAAAAAATGAGTCAGAATTGTTAAGCTTGCTTAAGACCTGCTATCAAAATCAAATTGAATAGCTAGAAATGTCTTAGGTTGTAGATCAAAATTTATTGGATATATTGAAAAAACAACTTGAAAAAATAAAGCAAAGAGTAAGAGATTGATTGAATACTACTTTCATAAAATATAAAAAAAGCTAAAATCTATAAATAAACGCTAAAATAAACACAAAAAAATGAATAGAGTCAGAGAGAGAGAAAGAGACAGAGATTTTAACTTTTATCTGTATTTGATTACAAATAAATTTCTAAAAAGTGAAAATATTGAATTTTATAGGTGGTGTATGAACAAAAATTAAAATTAATAGTTATATTTATTGTACTAAAAATTCACTTTATATGTAATATTTATAATATGTCTGACCGATTATTACAAATCTTATTTTTATCAATTTGCCCTCTTACATTTATTTCGTTGAATCAAACTAATTATTTTTAAAAAACGCTCTTTTTATCAGTTGAAATTATTTTGCTTATATAAAGTTATACAAAATAAAAAATGTAGTAAAAATAGAAATTTATTTATTTATTTATTTTTTATTCTCTCTACTTGCTCTTTTTTTTGATTCTACATTGCAATAAATTTTTTTATATCTTTTATTTTAATGCAGTATGGTAGAAGGAAATAATTTGTGAAATTTGTACTTAGTTCAAAATAATGGCAAAAGGTAAAAACATACTTATTCGTAATTCTTTTATTTCATCAGCTTGATGCTTGTAGAGAAAATAAAACTGCTTCGAAAGATTCCATCGTATTTTTGAAAACAAGATTTTGACCTGTTTGAATTTTAATGGTATGACCAAAAGAGTGACGAATTTTATTTTAATGACTTATTAATTACATTTGGGATGATTGATTCTAAATTTATGGGAGTTTTAAGGAAATTGAGTTCAGAATAATGTATTAACTTATTTACCTTGGAAGATTTTAATATGATTTTAAATTTACTGGCAAATATCAAACTAAAATAATTATTTTTTGAATTAGAACTGTTTGATTTAATAAATTAGATATTGTAAAATATTACTGTAAAGGAATACTGTGTTTTAAATCATTAAAAGATTGGTACATATATTTATATGATTATATTTCCTTTGATTCCAAATCCAAACTTAAGGTCAGTCACCAAAGTAACAAAATTGTTTAATAATATTTGAATACCAGCAAAATTCTACATATGCAATAGCTGTATTGAATTTTTAGGACCTATCCTTATAATATGTAGCTTGTTCACTATTAAATGTGATTTAAAAATAATATGAATAAAATTATAGGCCTAGTACATTTAGTAAAATAGTCATACTGGAATGGATATCTTAAAATATATGATGCATTAATTATCTAATACGTTTCTAAATAATTTACAAAAGAAGTTTATAGTGTATTATTTCATATGAAAAATAAATAGCTTTATGTATAGATAATAAAAATGAATGAAAAGAAACAAAATATTAATATTTACTCATTAAGATTCTAGTTAAAAAATGAATGTTAAAAGTTTATATTTGTAAATGTATCCGCAATTTGCTTCTTAACAATTTTATTCAATCAAATAGCTAGTTTGTTAGTATCTAAGAATAGAAGTTTATTTTTTGATAGATTACGCTGCCCTATTAATTATTTAAAAGATAAATTCTTTGGGTTATTTACAATAAATTAACAATAATTAATTATTAATCAAAAAAATTTTAAATAAAAAACCTTTAATTAAAATCTCTTAAAATAAATAAATAAACAATATATAAATGGACTCAAGCTACTCTGAATTCACTCTTGATGGTATTCTCTCCCACACTGACTACTCCAAGAGAAAGACCAAAATTGTCTGCACTATTGGGTAACCAGCAAATCAATTTTATATTATTCATATATCTTTTGACATCCTTTCATGATTGTGTTTGCTAACAATTTGTTTTAATAATATAGACCCTCTTGTTGGGATCACGATAATCTCGTTTAATTGCTTGAAAATGGTATGAATGTTGCTCGTTTGAACTTCTCCCATGGTGATCACGCTGTAAGCTTCTAAAATATATTATTATTTTGCAAAAAAGCACAATTTCAAGCTTATTAAATGACATTTTTGCTTACTATCTCCCATATTTTAATCATAATAGGGTCATGGAGAAACTGTTAGAAGACTTAAGGAAGCCTTCAAAGCCAGAAAGAACATTCAATGTGCTCTTATGCTTGATACTAAAGTACGTCATATTTTATACTTCACAGCCCTTTAATAGCCCTAAAATTAATATTTTCAAAAGATTTCAATCAATTTTTTTCTAAATTATACTATTTATAATCTAAAAGGGACCAGAAATCAGAACTGGTTTGGTAAAAGACTAAACTAAGAAGCTCATCAACCTCGTTGCTGGATAAGAATTAGAAATAAGTAAAGCTTAGTATTAAGTATTAATGAAATAAATATCATTTTTCTTTTTTAATTGTAATTTTCTAGCTACTGACTATAGCGTTTTAGGAGATGAGAAAGTTCTTGCTTGCTCTTACAAAAGTTTACCCAAGAGTGTCAAAGTTGGTGGTTAAGTCTTGATAGCCGATGGTACTTTGGTTTGCATAGTTAAGGAAATCAAATAGGTAAAATATTAATTAGTCTTATTTAAAAAAACGTTTTTTATTTGCGAAACAAACAACAACAATAATAAAAATAAATAAGCATAAAGAAACTGATAGAACTTTTTAATGAAAATAAATAAAGAGTTTGTTTTTTATCTATAATCAGAGATAGTTAATTAATTTAAAATAAAAGCCAAATCAATAAAAATACAATTTATTTATTGTTGGTTATTAAATTTTGATTCTGATCACAAAAAAATTAATTATAAAAATATTTACAAAGCAAGATATTAAACTTAATTTATTGAGAATAATCAATCCCACTTAATAATTATTAATGCTTTAATGAATGAATGCAATTAATTTCTTCTTTTTAACAATACAATAGGACAGTATCATCGTAAATGTTTAAAATACCTGCAGTATTGGTGAAAAGAAGAATATGAATTTACCAGGTGCTATTGTTGATCTCCCTACAGTCACTGAAAAAGACGAAGATGATATTGTTAACTTCGGTCTTAAGCATGGTATTGATTGTATTGCCTTGTCCTTCGCCAGAAAAGCTGAAGATATTGAATACGTTAGAGATATCTTGGGACCTCAAGGTGAACACATTAAGATCATTGCAAAGATTGAAAACCAAGAAGGTCTTCATAATTATGAATAAATTTTAGATGCTGCCGATGGTATCATGGTTGCTCGTGGTGATTTAGGTATGGAAATCCCTCCTTAGAAGGTCTTCGTAGCTCAAAAATGGATGATCCGCAAAGCCCTTGAAGTAATTTTAATACTACCTATCTATTTACTAATTTATTTTCTAATAAACAGAAAGGTAAACCCATTATTACTGCTACCTAAATGATGGAAAGTATGATTAAAAATCCCAGACCTACTAGAGCTGAAGCCAGTGATGTTGCTAATGCAGTTTTGGATGGTACTGATGCAGTTATGCTTTCAGGTGAAACCGCTAACGGATCTTTCCCTATTCAAGCTGTCTAAACCATGGCTTACATTTGCTCAGAGGCCGAACTTTGCTATGACAACAGACAAACTTTCTGGTAAAGAACAAACAACAAGGTATTTATTTTTATTTTATAGAATTAAAAATAAAATTTAGATAAGATTAACATACAAAAAGGATTTTTATCAAAATAAAGAAAGATACAATTTGCAAATTTATTTTAGTTAGATATTATTAAACAAACTTGAATTATTTGTTTAGCATAAATAACATAAACATTATTTACAAAGCTAACACAAAATATTTATGATATATAAAGATTCTTAAAATTAATATTTTTATGTTAAATTAATATTAAAAATAGAAAAAAGTTTCTGCTGTTGAATCTATGGCTATCTCTGCTGTCTAAATGAGTTTTGAAATTGAAAGTCCTGTTATCATCGTATTTACTACTAATGGTGATATGGCTAGATATGTCTCCAAGTACAGACCAAGTGCTTAAATTTTCGTTGTATCAACTGAAAACGGTACAATTAAAGGCCTTTGCACTACTTTTGGTGTCAGATGCTTAAGAGTCCCTTCATTCTAAGGTGAAAATTACTATTTTAACTGTAAAATAAATATTAACTATATTCATATTAATAGGTATTAATAAGCTCATTGATTATGCTGTTGATGCTGCTAAAGAGTAAGGATTTATCAAGTCAGGATAAAATGCAATTGTAATCCTTGGCTCAAACGAAGAAGAACCTGATCAAGGTGACATCCTTAAAATCAAGGAAGTTAAATGATCTAAAAAAAATATAATACCAATTTATAATATTTTACTTTAATTTATTTGAAAATTATGTAATCACTCTTCATAGTATTGTAAAGTGTTAAGCTTGTTAAGCAATAAAATCTTTAAAACTAATAAATTATCATCATTCAAATAACATAATTAAATAAATCATAGTTTAATAAATAGTTTTTGCAAATTTTTTTTAAAAGAATTTTCAAAAATAGTTTGCCAAGATCAAAGATTTTTTTTGCACATTCCTAAAACATTTTATCATTAAAAAAATATTGTCATTGAAAAATTTATTTAAAAAATTTTGAATTTATTTTATGTAAAATTTGTGCTTTGATTTATTTTTAATTAAAGTAAAAAAATATTTTTTAATAAAAAAAATAAATTTGAAAAATAAAATTAGCAATCAATTTTATAAAATTATTTTTCTTGAAAAAGTAACCAATTTTAATTAATTTTTTGTATGAAGCAAACTAATTAACTAACTAACTAACTAACTAACTAACTAATTAGCTGTATTTTTAAAATTTAGGTTTCAAAACGCTTATAAAATTAATTTTATTTCCTGTTGAAATTTTGTATAATAAACATTTTAATTCTTAATTTAAAGGCTTTTGATTTATATTTGTAATTTAATATTAAATTTTAAAAATATTAATTGATAATTTGATTATTTTATGCTATTCTTATCCCTTTTAAATTGTTAAAATATTAGAAATGGAATCCTAATCTATCTTGCTAAGAGTTGTTAGTTGCTTTTTAATGCTTTTTTAAATTTTAGATTGCTTCGATTACCTTTTATAATGCTATTATATTTAAATAAATTATGAATAAGGAAGGTATTTAGTTAGATTGCTAATAACTAAAATTTTTCACTAAAAAGAGCTTTATAATGAAAAATAAATAACAAGAACTGTTTAATGCTATTGAAGTTGCAGATAGACTAATACTTATTCAACAATGCAGACATGTAAATAATACTAATATGTTAAAAGTGCTACTTTTGTTTGTTTGTTTTCTTGCGATTGGTTATTTAATTTGAGTACGATAACATCAATCAATATCAACAATATGGAAGATTTACTTTACCTATTAATTTACTTGTTGCAATTGTTTGCTATAACAATAATAATAAGTATGTATTTCTAATATTAAAAAGAGTCGCTAAAAAAAAGTGATCAAACAATGGAGGCACCAGAAATAATTTCAATAAGTTCCATAGTAATTTTAGCTTAACGAGCCTTGTTGTAATCGAGAGTGAGCTTAGAAAGGATTTCACCAGCATTCTTGGAAGCGTTTTCCATTGCATTCATACGAGAAGCTTATTCAGAAGCAGAAGAGTTGAGGAGAGCATTGTAAACAGAAGAAGCCATGTACAATTCAAAGAAGTAATTCTTGGAATATTCTAATTCAGGTTCAACAGCTTCGTGACGAGTAACGTACTTGAATAAATTTAAGAATTGGGCTCTGGGAAGCAATTCTTAGTGCTTGACAACGTAGGAAATGGCATTCTTGAAATGATTGTATATTAAAGTAACTTGATCATAACCAGCTCCTTAAGTAGAAACTTAGTGTGCAATAGCTGCAGCAGTAGGGAAATTAACATTTTAGATATTAACAATAGAACTCTTAAGCAAATCGGGGAAAGGTCTAGATAAACCACTAGAACCCTTTTCACCAACTGGTAAGAGACCGAAAGCAGATCTATTATTGAGGGCTAATCTCTTAACTTCTCTGACAATACTGGAATTGACAGAACCACACAAACCCTTATCGGAAGTGATGGGAACGAGGAGGGTAGATTTGGGTGCGGTGGTAGATTTCTTCTTTTGGACGTAAGATTCGTTTTCCAACATCTTTTGTACGCTGCCAACGGCGAAGTTTCTACCATTTTCTAATCTGCTGGTTTCAGCTTTCATTTTTGATGCAGCAACCATCTTCATGGCCTTGGTGATCTTCTTAATTGAACCAATGGCTTTCATTCTAATCTTTAATTGCTTTAAGTTAGCACCGAAGTTCATCTAAGGTACCATAACCAAAGAGGTATTAATGAAACCCTTTGAAGCTAATCCGAACATTTAAGCTTTAATAAATTCTTAAAATATCTATTTATGAATGAAGTTTCTCTTCTAAGAAGATTTATCTATCTATCTTTTTTCTTTCTTTAAATTATTTCCTTTTAATTAGATTTAATTTCTTCTTTTCTCCTCTTCTTTTCAAAATCTTCTTGTATTTACTTGCATTTCTAAATATTCCATATTAAACCAATTACTAGCTAATACACTATTTATTTTTTTTCCATTATTTCATTATTAATTTTCCCTTTAAAGCTCAATCATTTATTTGTTTTATTTATTTATTTATAAGCAACCCAATACATTTATTAAATACAATCATTTATTTCCTTTGCTTTAGTGAGTGATTGAATTTTTGATTGCTTTTCTCTTTTCAAAGCATTTATTTTTTTTGCTACTTTTTTATTTAATTTTTATCTAAAATTCTTTGTACTTTTCTTGTATAATTGCTCTTTCCTATACAAATTAGTATGAAAGGGCTCTCTCTACAAAAACACATTATTTATTATTCTTTAAAATATCAAAAAGGCATCATTTTTTGATAATTCTATCTTATTGTTGCAATCAATGTCTTCTTAATTTATTTATTTTATTATTTCTTTCTTATTATTATTATTAAAATAAGATATGGATGCCTTTAATTTTTTATTTATTAAGATCTGTTTTTGTTCCTCCTTATTTTATTTTATTTAATCTGTTTTTTATGTAATGCAAAATTGAATAAATTCAATCAAGAAAGACTATTTCAAATGACTATAATTTTTTTATTGATGAGAAGATCTTTCTTATTTTTATTATAAGATATTTCTTCAAAATTTAAGATATTTCTAATATTATTCCAAAAATTATAATTTTTTGCCATCTTTATATTTCAGTCGTGTCATTCATTCATATTATTACTTTATTTATTTTTCAAAATATGATAATAAAAAATAAAATATTAAATTCAAATAATTCTATCAAAATTCAAAAAAATAATTTTAAAAGAAAAAAAATAAAATTTTAAAATTAATTATTTGATGAAATATCATTAGATAAATTGAAATAAATTACAAATATTTAATACAAATAATTAAATTTAATCATTTATTTTAATTGTTAATTAAATATAATCATTTCTTTTTATTTTTGCTCTTCTTTTGTTCTTTCTTAAGGACTTTTCCTAAGTCATTTTCATATTATTACTTTGTAGAATTAACCATTTTATTGTCTCCTTGGTCTACGTACACATTTGTCCTAGTTAAGGTATTTGTATTAATTTAAGGATATCTGAGCATCAATTTTGTGCATAAAGTATCAATATTTAATGTGAAATCCCAAGGTTTGACTGCTTTTTTCATAATTTATTTAAAGTTGATTTCGAGTTCTTTTCTCTACTTGATTTAATCTTTTTCGACTATAATTAGTTCTTCCTTTTGGTTATTGTTGTCGATTTTAACATCTCTTTTGAATTTAGTGTTAACTGCAAAGAGAACATCATTTAATTCATTTTCAGTCTTATAACTGTAAATTAAATCGAAAACTTTGCTGAGTTTAGTTTAGAGTAAAGTATCACATTCTTTTTAGTGAGTACCTATATAGTTTATCATGAGTAAGCCATTATTTTCAAGCAATTTTTATAACTTTTAAAGGAATTCTTCTTGTAAGAACTATTCAGGAGGACTTGCTTAGTTTTCTTAGGGGCTAACGATATCAATAACAATAATGTCATATTATTGTTTCTTTTTAGGTGCAGTCTTGCTTTCCTTAGCTTCTTCGATTTCTGATCCTTCCTTTTCTACTTTAGGAGCTTCTTCATTGACAGTATGATTTTTAATGTAAGAAAAAGCATTATCAATAGTAATTTTGAATCTGGGGTCTTTATCAACTCCAAAGTGAATTTTAGCAGCTTCAACAATATTCTTAGAAATTTCAATATTATTAAGCTTAGTGTTAGCAAAGTGGTTGTAAATAAACTTGCTTAAGGCGCATAGTCCAGCACCTAAAACGAGAATGTTCAATTCTTTCTTCTCAAATGCATCAGCTCCAAGCAATGATAAACCAGCAATCATAGCTCTGTATTAATAAAATAATATTTTAAAAAAATATAATTTTGCCTAGAATTATTAATTTATTACCTGTGGCTTTCAAAATCGAGATAGCTTTCATCAATTCCAATAACCATATTCTTCTTTGGAGGAAGGATGCTCTTTGTAAGCTTATTTTATTCGACTAAATCAGGTCTATTCTTAGCTGAAAAATAAGTCATTTTATACTATGATTGGATAGCAGAAATATTATTTTTCAAAACTAATCTTCTAAGAGCGTGGCCTTCTTCGTTAAGGATTTCTTCAATAATAAATTCTTCATTTTAAGCAATAACATCCTTGTCTATTAAATTTTTACAAAAGTCATTTCATATTGAAAAAAATTATACAAATAATTATATTTTACCTCCTATTTCATCTCCATCTGTAATGAAAGGAACAGGAAGATTCTTGCATCCTTTGGGGATCAAGTCATTAACAGCAGGGCAGAGTTCATCTTGAACTTCCTTCATGCTAGAGAAAACGTAACCAGGATTCAAAATAGCAATAATTAATCTTGAATAACCAGCTCTATTTTATACAAATTTGCATTTTAAATACTATGATAAATTTAATTTATTGTATATTTAATGAATTTTAAATGAATTATGAATATAAATAAAATCATTACTGCTCTAATAATTCGAAATTTCCTTTTTCTGTGCTAGAGATATAGCTTTGCTCTTTACCTTAAGGTGTAATGAAGCAACCACAAGTTTTCTATTCAAAAAAAAAAAATTTAGTTTTTTATTATGTGAGAAAAATTTCTTTTTGTGATGAATAATTAATTTACGTTTTCTAAAATCTTTTTGCTATTTGAATCAACTACATGAAGAGTATACTTAGGAACCTTTGCATTAGGTACTTTAGGATCCCAAACTTCTATAGAAAAGCGCTAACCAGCATGACACTTTTTAACCTAAGACATAAACCTATTTTAAGTTTGAATACGATTGATTTAATGCTTAATTTCTTGAGGAGGTAAGAGCTTAGCCTCAGCTTCGTTCTTTAAATGAAGATTAATTTTATTATGAGTGGCAGTTGGATTATCAGATCTCTTAATATCAACTAAGAAAGGATAAAGCTTAGATTTTTCAATAAGAACTTCATGTATAGTGATCTCAAAGTTCTTTGAATTGAAGAAAGTGAGCAAAGTGTTTAAAATGTGAGATTGTAATAAACTAATGCAAACGTATCTAGAATTAGGATTTGCTGTAAGTATATCAACAATACTTTATAAGAACTTATTAATCTTAGTAGTATTTTCTTCAGTTTCTTCAGGATAAACAGCATCAAGGAGACCTTTATCCATGACAATATCAAAAGAGTTAGGAGCATAAGTCATATTAAAGATATCTACTACTTCATATTTCATTTCGGGTCTGATTTTGGCAGATCTTGCAGACATTTCTTTAATAACGTCTTCAGAGAAATCGCAGTTGACAATATTCTTAAAGCCACCATCGTACATATCTTCTGAGAATAAGGAATTACCACAACCAATATTTAATATTTTTTAGTCTTCCTTAACGATTTGACTAATGATATGTTAAAAGTTCTTGAAATTACCATACCATTCAAAAAACTCGCTATCCTTTTTGTCGTTTTGCTTTTTAAGTTTGCGGAAGAACTTATCCCAATATTGCTTAGATTAAAATTCACCGTAATTTTTAGGTAAGATGTTCATTTTCGTAAATTCTTATTAATAACCTTTTTATAATAATAATAATAACTTGCTATCAGTTTTTTCTTGCTTTTTAACAAAATTAACCAAAAAAATATCTCTTTTAACTTTTGATTATAAATATTAAAATCACTTAAAGCACTTAAATATCTTTTGCTAACAAAATATATCTAACCACAATGCAAGAATTGATTATTCTATTAGTAATTTAACAAACATCTTAAACCCTACCAATATCTTGTAGAGATAGTTTATTAATTTTGGATTGTATATTATTCATCTCTTTTACAAATTAAACTAAGTCTTTGCTTTGAGTTTTATTTGCTTGCTAAATGCATAAATTATTTATTTATTTATTTATATATTTATATATTGCTGGTAGAATTTAAATTTCATTAATAATTTCATTTAAATTTCATTAATATTTTCACTTAAACTTATCAAAAAGTAAGATGTTAATAATAAAAAAGTATAAGTAAAATGTTTAGAAATAGTTAAATTAACATGATATAAATCTATAAATGACATATAAAAAATAATTAATTACTTTATATTTTATTATTCTATTTTTGAAAGTTTATATAGTACTTAAATTATTATGAAAACTTCTTTTTTTATTCTAATTTTAGATTATTCAATTAATGCATGGTCAAACACCAAAAGAACAAATAAATCAGTTGAAGGGTAATATAGTTCCAAAAAATATATGCTTTACTACAGGGAATTTAAATAAAACTTCAGCTTAGTACATTTTAACCATACCCTAAAATAATAATTAAAATTTGTTTAAAATAATAATTAAAATTTGTAAAACAAAAATTTTTTTATTTTAATTTTTTTTATAAAACAAAAATATTTTCTTTTTTAAATAAATAAATAAATTAAATTTACTTGGGCAACTTTAGTCCAATTAGCAGCTCCTGAGATATCGTTGAGGATGGGTGAGTGCTCAAAGAAAGGACCCTTCTTCTATTATTTTATGAAGTCGATACAGTGTAGATACATATATTCTTTTTCGTATTTCTTAAGTATGTCATCCTTATGAATGTAAGAAGGATCTAAAACGTATTAACTGTTTACAAGCTCATTTGAGCCAAATAAAAAGGGTAAAAAGTGATAGTCATCTAAACCCCAAACCCCATGTGAGCCAGCAGGTTCAAGCATGTAAGTAACTTAAATTTTCCTCATCAAGTTAATATACCTTTTAATTAATTAATTAAAAATTTAATTAAATCGTCTAGCAAAACAGAAATCATTATATTGCACTCAAGTTTTTATGCTTTTATAAAAGGTAAATTGCTTTAAGAGAATAAAAATGTAATGTTTTCTCATTAAAAGATTTAGAGAAAAATAAAACTCATTAATTCAAAAAAATGTATTCAATAACATCACTTTGCTTATGTTTTGCTAAAATAAATTTAAATCTTAATTTTAAATGTGCTAATATTTAATTACTTATAAAATACACATCTACATAAAACTTCTAGATCAGAAGTATCATATAAGCCGAGCTTTTTTAATGCAAGTAAGAAGAAAGCAAAAGCCATTTCGTGACCCGTTCCATAATCAAGTCTAACATTAGAACCGTAAGAGTCTTGCAAATAAACTCTCAACTCTACGATTGCTCCTTTAATAGGTTCAGGCAAATATTCTGCAAGGAAGTTATCAGTAGACTAATAATAGAAATAAAATAATCTTAAATATAAACTTCAACTTTTCAAAATTTTTAAGAAGCGATCGATCGATATATATAATTCTTGAGAAAAAATAAGTCTCAATTAGATTCTTCTCAAATCAATAAATAAATCATATTTAAACATGTAGATATTTGATTGATAAGTTATTAAACGCGTAATCTGCAATTAATATATTTACTTTAATCATATCAGCATGCCAGTCTTTGAAGGCCTTGTTTCCAAAACGCATGGGTTGCTAAATTGGAGGGTTCTTCTCAAGGAGCCCTTCCAATTCTTAAAGATACTAAACGACCTTCTAGAATTTACCATTATCTTTTGTCTCTGAAATCATTTTAGATTTTACTGATACTTAAATCTCACAGACAAAAATAATATATTCTTAGAATGTGCTACTCTTCTTAAAGATTTCTACATCTTCTTGAGTTTTCAATTTCTTGGTAGGTTCTTCAAATTGATGTTGAGCCCACTTACTTTGGATATTATCTGAAGCCATTTATCTATTTAATACTTTAAATGTAAACTGAGAAGTGTTTGGTTATTTATTTCCTACTCCAATTTTTTTTGAAATTTTTCTAACTTTATTCTTAAAAGAATTGATCAAAAAGTAAATTTTAGATTTATTTATTTAAAATTTCTATGAATATTTATTTTCTTTCTTTCTCTATCCTTTTATTTCTTAGCAATATTTATTTATATTACAGCTTTTAAATTCTTTGTATAATATGATATATTAATTATTTAACTTTTAGATGCTTCTTTTGCTTTATAAGTCCTTATGGAGTAATTTGTTTATGAATTTTTAAAAAGGGGATTTCTTGTTGTGTCGCCTGCATCATGTTAACTTCTTTTATCAAGAAAAATTTTTTATTAATTGCGTAATCGTAATGCAAAGTTTATACTTTCAACTAAACGAGTTTAAAAATCATCACAATTAAATACTTTACTTACGAGTAATAATCAATACATAAATTTATACCTTGAATTAAATCCTCCTGAAATTAAATCAGTTAAGCTCTAAGCCATTAATTATTAGTAACAACAAATATTAAACTGAATAATTAGAATTACAAATTAATTTCATTAAATCAAGTAACAAATAAACAAAGTGTTCTATCATTAAATTTTGCAATAATTTAAGTACTATAAGTGTGAACAATGAAATGAAATTAATAAGTGATATTAAATTCGATCATTTGTCAAATTATTTACAAAATATTAAAATAAATATTTATTTTTCGATGAACTTTTCGTTATTAATATTTTTTTAAAGTATGAAAAATCTTGAGTAAATAATTTATGTAAGTTAGTCATTTTGTAAATTTATTCTGATAATAAAATAAAAAGTAAATGATTAAATCATATTATATCTTATCTATCTATCAATTTATTTATTTATCTAATTATCTGCCTTCTTTAATTTTATTTAATTAACTTTCATTTTTTAGAAGAAATTAAAAAGTTAAATAAAATTTTTATTTTTTTAAGAGTTTGAATTTTATGAATTAAAATTAATAATAATTATTTTGAAACTAGTTTTTTTTTTCTTTAATATTTTTATTCTAATAAAAATATAACATTTAGATATAATAGATTAGATTTATTTTATATGCTAATAAGTTACATCTCTATTTAGATAAATAATTTAATTTTTTTCAAATTTTTAAAAGAAATTTAACTTTTTTAACAGGTTTAAATAGTAAATAAATATACTAAATTTTGCTTAAAAAAATGTTTATTTAATTCTGTTTAGCTAAATTTTATATTTATCATTTAATTTAAACAAAAAACGATACCTGAGAGAATCGAACTCTCACTCCTCAAAGGAAACGGATTTCAAGACCGCCGCTTTTACCACTCAGCCAAGGTATCTTATAAATTGAAATCCAAATTTTTTATACCTGCTTTTATAAAAATTAAAAATTTCAATTTTTTTATTTTTCATTTATATTCAATAAAAAATGATACCTGAGAGAATTGAACTCTCACTCCTGACAGGAAACGGATTTCTAGACCGCCGCTTTTACCACTCAGCCAAGGTATCTTATAAATTGAAATCCAAATTTTTTATACCTGCTTTTATAAAATATTTAATATTTAAATATTTTATATTTATGATTTAATTTAAACAAACAAACAAACAAACAAACAAAAAACGATACCTGAGAGAATCGAACTCTCACTCCTGATAGGAAACGGATTTCTAGACCGCCGCTTTTACCACTCAGCCAAGGTATCTTATATGTTGAAAATCAAGATTTTTATACCTGCTTTTATAAAAATGAAAGATTTCAATTTTCATATTTCATACTTTTGAGATTAAACTCTCCTATTTATTATCTAAAATATATTTTCTTGCTTTTTCTTATATTCAGCTAAAACTCATCAAAAGCAAAACTTAAACAATTTTAAAAGCGTATTAAAGTAGTTATCAAATAAGAATTGAGTTTGGAAAATTTACTAAGATTTTTATTCTTAAGTAAAACTATAAATTTGAATTACAATTAAGATTAGAAAAATTTTATTACACTAATAAGCAAGCTAAAAAAGAAGAAAATTAAATTGAAATTTCTTTTAAATATCAAATAGTAAATTACTCGAGGGTATTACTTAGCTTTTTTGAAGAATTTATTTAACTTTAAAATAAGTTTAAGTTGAGGAAAGTTTTAATCAAAGTGAAGGTTGAACTTCTAAAAAGAAAAAAAACATAAATGTATTTAAAACTATCTTACTTTATTCTTATAAACACAATTTAGAAAACATACACATATGATTTAAACATAAAATATGCTAGTTAATTCGACATAAGATAATTAATAATATTTATTACTAATAAATTTTAATTTAAGTTTGATATTACTCCTTAATATTTTATTATTATAAATGGTGGTAGTTAGTTATTTAGTAAATAAATAAATACAATAATGTGATATTGCCAAGAGGAAAAATTAATAAATGAGATGTTTTTATTGGTAAGCTTAATTAACGAAAGTAGGATTATTTGTTTTTTATCTCTTTTCTTCTAATATTTTAATAAATTTGCAAATAGAAAGATTAAAAATTAACAATTAATATTGGAAATCAATACACTTTTTTTTAGAAAAAATATTATTTTTACTGTCACCCATTTACAAATATCAATCCTTTTTCCAATGAATTCCTCTCATTCTCAGCAAAGAAAGGAGTTACCAAAAGTTTGCAAGTAATTCCCTGAGGAATTCCTTTTTCAAAGATAGAAAACGGCTTAATCTACTTTAAACAGTTTGAATAGAGTAGACATTGAACAATTTTTTGATTATGACTAAGTTTTAAAGAGCAATATCAGTACAGCCTCTAGCTCTGCAACTAGCAACAGACTTTAGAACCCACTTCTTTGTCACAAAAACATACAATTTCCATAGCTTTCAAAAGATATTTTAAATTAGATTATCTCAGTAGAAGGAGGATTAGCTAACCAAAATCCTAAGGGAAGCTCTATAAATAATATATTTTAGCAGAATAAACAAAATAATGCTTAATAAGAAGATTTATTTGACAGAAAATAACTAAAATAGAGTTTTTTGCTTAGTTTAAATCAAAATCCACAATAAAAAATGTTACAAAACTAAGATTTGGCTTAAAAAATGCTTAACAATAGCTCAAGAAATAAAATTCTTGATGGAGAGAAAAGTGATTTTATGGTGCCAATCTTAAGACATAGAGGTTCTACCAACTTAATTGGACAAAAATTATACGAATTCAATGCTGAAGATGAAGTTATGGAGGATTTTAAAGAAAAAGAAGATTATTAGGATTCTCTTGATAAAATATAAATTTCTCCTGAGTTGCATTTGTTAAATGAAAATATTTTTTAATTGTAGAATTAAGCAAGTATTATCAAGCTAAATAATATTATTGAAAAGAAAGAAAGAAACAATTCACATTTAAGTATGGCAAACAAGTCTCAGTCTTCATCTACATCTAAGAGAATAGAGTTCAAGAATAAAAAAAGCACTTAGATTACTTCATCTTCTTTCACTTTAACTGATGGCTAGAGGAATGTAAATAAATTTAAACTTTTTAAAAATTTGAATTAAAATAATTTATTTTGATATCAATTCAAAAAGGTTGAAAATCCATCGAATTGCTTACATAGTCGTATTGCTTCAAGAAAAAACTAAAGCGCAATATCTTAAACAGAATAGGCATTTGATAGCTAATAAACTGAAGATGAAGACTCGATATAATTAAAACTAGGCTTCAAAAAATAAAGTTAATTGGAAACACTAGAAAAAAGTAGAGTTTTAATTGAAAAGGCTATCAATTAAAATAGCACTTAAATGATAAAGTAAGACAACCAAATAAGAGCTAGCTCATCTTGTGCTAGCTTTATATCTAACTAATAATCAAATAGAAGTGCGTTTAAATAAATCCCTTACATTCTAACTCCATCAAACCTAAATTAAAATAAGTAGTATTTAATTTAAGGTTAAAATAAAAAAAATCTTTAGATCAACTAGTAATTATTTCTAAGCAGAAATAATTCAATTGAAAATTTGCCTAGTTAAATTAGTCAAAGCATACAATTAAATTAAAATCATAGTGATAAATAGATAAATGATGCAAATTTATTAAATTCGCCCATCCTTAGATTACCTAAATTGACTCTTAATGCTGATTAAAAGTTATTATCAATTAATAATTCTGCATTAAATTTTATCAATGATAATAACTTTCAAGAGTAGCAGCAGCAATAAACAGATTAGACTACTTGTAAGACTATTAATGGTATCGGAGTCAGTAAATCACATTCATTTTCTGTGTTTAACAAACTAACTTATCAGAATTAAATTTTGCAAAATTAAAATTGTTAAGTATTTGCAATTGATAAGAATCTATAACAAATAAGTAAATAAATAATTTTAATTTTTTTACTTTTGTATTAAGTTTAATAATTTTAAATTTTTAGAGAGAGAGATAAAAACACCTAATTTTAACACAATGTAAGCAAATAGAAATCAAAATACTAGCAGCTTGTAATTAGATGAATAGAAAAAAATGTTGAGATAGTCTAAAGAAAAGAGTGAAACCAGCTTTTAAAATAACCAATAAATGCAAATGATAAGAATATCTAGTGTGAATAGCGACTCAAAAGAAAAACATTAAAATGAAATTGATGAAATGAATTCCTTTGAACTTGAAGTTAAAAGCAGTTATTACTAAAGAAAGCAATAAAATGAAAATATTTAAGAAAAGAAGAATAATAAATAAGACCTAGATGCTAGCTTTGGAACGAACTAGAATAATAAAAATAGCACCTTTCAACTTAATGAAGACTAAACTTTAACTTTATTGGATACATCGATGAATTAATAAAATAGTGCATAAATTGAACATAGAAAAAAGAATATTGCACAAAAGAATTTTAAGTGCAATAAAAGTTAATAAGTTAGCAAGAATCAAAATCACAAACATAATTAAAATATTTTATAAGATGATATTTTTTCTTAAAAAAATATTGACTTTTCAAATTAGACACAAAAAAAAGCAATATCCAACAGGAATTAGGAAAGAAGTTTGTCAAATGCATTAGATATTTAATACAAAGATTAACAAATTAATGCCTTTGGCTAAATCTAAAATTAAAAGCTAAGCTTACATTCCTACGGATTTTCTATGAGAAATAAAGAGAGTGTGCATTAAAGAAGCTAAATTTTAAACCAAAATAAAGCTAACAATTCATTAAAAGACCAACATATTATTTCTTTTGATATTGATTCTTACTATCAAAATTTGTAACAAAATATTCCTAATAATTTCTTGATAAATGAATAATTAAAATAGAAATATCCTTAAAAGCAGTCATGTATTATTTAAAATTAATCAAACTAAAATGGTTTTGTTTAAAAATAAAATGACATTTTTTAGGCTGAAAAAATGAAGAATGATTCTAATTTAAGTGAAGAAAAAGCTTTTGACAATCTTTTGCATACTTTTAATGCATCTAAAAATACTGATCAATTAAAATTATAAGAAGTCATCCAAAATTTTTAATTTAATAATTAACATTATTTGAATTGTGTTGAAAGCCTTTAACTCAGTAAAGCAATCTAGCCAAATAATAAAAACATCCTAAAAGAATTTGAAAAGGAAAAAGAAATCAAACAGTAAAATAGCTCATCTTAAAATTAAAAATAAAGAATAGAAAAAAATCAACATTATTTCATACAAGTAAAAAATGACAAATATCTCTAGAAAAAAAATTTAGTGTAAAGCAAACACAAAAGTGTAGATTTAAAACAGATTATTTCAAAACAAAAAACTAATTCTAATAATAAAACTAAAATTGAGGAAAAAAATAGTTTAGCCACAAGAAGTATTTCAAATTAATAAGATAATAATTTATATATCAATGAAAAAAGTATCGAAATTTAAGATCCTAAATGACTTTAAGTTAAAAAATATATATATATAATCATAAGTCAATCTAACTATATTAATTATTTATTATTAATAATCATATATTTATATTTATAGATATTTATTTATTTACTCATTTTAATATCATTTTTAATTTTATTAATTTATACTTGATAAACTAAAAAAATAAATTATTCAATATCATTTTTAAATTATTAATAAACAGAGAGAGTAATTAATATTCTCTATATTTTTAAAAAATAATTTAATTTTTGAAATAGTTAACAAAATTTTTTGTTACATTTAATAAAAAATTAAAAATTCACCTACTTCAAACTTATGATTTTATATTTTAGGATTTCTTGCTTTTAACAAAAAAAGTCAAACATAATTTCTTTTTCATTAAAAAATTATTTAAAAATATACTTCCAAATTATACTGTCAATAACACAAAAATTTATTTTGTCTTTTCTGTGTCAATTACATTTATTAATGTATCCTTTCATAAGTAAATAAAAGAAGGCCTTACAAAAAATATTAATATGTAGATGGAATTTAATATTTAAAACCAGATATATGAATTGTTTGAATCTGTTTATGCTTGCAAGCAGTAAATTTAATTAATTTAGATTATTTGGCTGAACTTAAAGTATTTTAATTACTTCAAACAAAAATCCAATGAAAGGTTTTTTGAATTAAATTTGAATTTAATATGAATTGCAAAAATTATATTAATATATTTCTGAATAATATAAAATAAATATCCTTATGATTAATTTATGTAATTGATTTAATTTAAACTTTTATTAACTAATTAATTATAGAGTATTAAATTTACTTTTATTTAAAAAAAACTATTTTGTAATTTATTAAAACAAATAGTAAATAAATTCAATTATTTGCATTTAAATATTTCACGTAATCTTCCCAATCAATAGGCACTTATCTTTCATTATATACTTATTTTACTATTTACCCATCTGCTAGATAAAGTATTCTATCAGCATAACACTCAATATCTGGATTATGTGTAACCATAATCATAGTAACTTTCTATGTTTCTTCACTGGAATAACCAAAATTATTAATACTTAACAACAAATCCATAACTTCAACTATTTAATAAATTATTATTTAAAAATTATAATTAATCTATTAATTCAAGTGAATACCTGTTGATTTTGTGTCCAAATCTCCTGTAGGTTCATCCAATAAAACAATCTGTGGTGAGTTTGCTAGGGCTCTAGCAATGGCTACTCTTTATTACTCACCACCTGAAAGCTCAGAAGGCTTTTTAAATATTATAAATCAATTAATTTATTTGTTCTTAGATTTAAAAATTACCAAGTGATCCATTCTATCTTGTAAGCCAACTCTAGTAAGGAGATTGATAACTCTTTGTTTTATAACTTTTTAGCTCTATTTAATAAAAATAATTTATTTAACCTTAATTTTTGTATAAAAAATTATTTCTTACTAATTTATTAAGTATTTTCATTGGTAATTCAACATTTTCATAAGCAGTCATTGTTGCAAGTAAGTTAAATGTTTGAAAAACTATTCCAATAGATTCTAATCTAAGCTAAGATAAATAAGAATCTGAGGAATTAGTATCAATTTATTAGCCAAGAAGCTCTATTTTTGATAAAAAATGTAAGCAATTAATTGTTGAAAAATCATAAGTATTATTACTAATTGTGCCTGAGCTTGGCATATCTATAGTACCTAATAAATTTAAAAGAGTAGTTTTACCACCTCCTGAAGGTCCTCTAATCATTACAAATTCTCCCCTAATTAAATTCATAATAAATAAAGATTTGCCTAACTTTTTAAAATATTACTTTTTTATTGGTTTACATTCACTTTATTCTTGCAAGGTAATATTGTTTAGAGCTTTCACTTTATCATCTCTTCCTACTAAAGAAAATTCTAATGTATAATTAAAAGCATATTACATATTTAAATAACCCATTCTTGAATATATATTTAAAATAAAAAAGAGTATGTTTTCTTTCTTTTTAGAAGTATTTTCAATTGATTAACAGAAATATTGATTGCTAGTATCTAGTAATTAAGGTAATTAATTAATTAATTATTACCTTTTGTAAGATTTTAACATTCCATAATTACCTCTGCATCATCTAAATTTTTAGGTTCTAAATCATAAATTTTTTGATCAACAGTCACTATTATATTTTTTTTATGGATACATAATTTTTGCTTGCTTTATACTTCAATATAATATTACAATAATGAGTGCTATTCTTTTAATTCATTCTAAATTATTTATCTTTTCCTTCTACTAGTGTTTGGACAGTTTTTACTTGTATTTATTTATTTATTTATTAGGTTTCAACTATTTATTTTTAAAATTGAACAATCTTCTACTCAATTAATATTTATTTAAATTAAACTTATTTTTATCAGATATAAATCAGATTTTATCATTAAGTCTTCTATTTCACTTTTAAATAAATAATCTGGAAGATTTTTGATATTTTTCAGGATATAACATCATATTTTTTTTGTTAATTGAAGAGATCAACAAATAAAATATTAGTTAATAGTTATGTAAATTAAAACAATTTAAATAAATAATATTTATTTATTTATTTTTTACAAAAAATTAGATTAACTGTTATTTTATAATATGAATTTAGTTTAACGATTTATGTAAATAGTAAAATAAATTTATAATTTTTGTTTAAATATTATTAAATAATTTACGTATTTAACTTTTCTTTATTCATAAAAATATCTTACTATATTTAATTTATAACTTAAAAATTATATTTTTACTAACTAAATTAAATATTATAGTAGTTTAATTTCACAAAATTATTTATAAATGATATATTTTTAATTTATTATTAACTAAAATTAAAGATTTTATTAAGTATTTTTTTATATTTTTATTATAAAAATCTATTTTTATATTTTTCTTTTATTATTATCTATTTAATTTTATTTCACAGTTATGAAAATTAAGCTATTTAACTTCTTAATTTAATCAACTTTCAACTATGATTCAACTAGTTAATATTAAATAAGATTTTTAAATTTCTAATAAAATGTTTAACTGAAATATTATATTTATTTATTTAAGTCTTAAATATGTATTATTGCTTATTTTAACGTAGATTAATTTATTTGTTTCTTGTAGGACTTAGTGAAGCCAAGTAAAGTAAAGTAGACTTCGAGTTTTTGATGTATTAAAATTAGTAAAACTTTAAATTTAATGGTAACTTGTTTTTTTTATTGATTTCATTTTTAACAAATATTCGATGATTTAGTAATTTTTTTTTGAAATTAATACTTTTAAAACTATAAAATTTTCGAAATGTTCTATATAAAAAATTAATCAATCCTGATTAAAAAAATATATAAATTAAATTAAATTAAATCAAATAATTATGGATATTTAGAAAAATCCATGGAAGAAAGGGAGTCTTAGACCACTTTCTTCAAAGCAAAAAGATGATTAAAAAAGCAAGGAAAGTTCAAATAAAGAGTAAAATAATGGACTGTTGGGTATGGAAATCACAGGAACAAAAATTTCAAAGCAGAGTGAAAAAGGGTTCGCGAAATTTATGTAAAATAAGATGAATAGGTCATAGTAGAGTAACAGATAAGATGATTAGGAGAGTGAAATTGAAGAAGAAAAGCATAACAATGAGCCTTAAATATATCAAAATTAGCAATTAAATGAAACTGGTTACAGTGAAACTTCGAATATATATATTGATGATTAGCTTGATGATTTAGAGTAAAATAAACCAAGGGGGAATTTTAATGATTATATGAGGGAAAAAATTGAAAATAATCCTGATAAAAAGAAAGTTTATGATAATTTCTTACTGGATTAGAAGAGAAAAGAACATGAAGACGAGTTGAAGAAGCAAACATCCAAGCCTTTTTAATTTTAAAAAGGAAGAATGAGTTCTTCTGCTACTGCTTATTCTAAACAGAGAAGCAACATTACCACCAACGATGGGCTTGAAGGATTGTAAAATTATGAGCGCTCAACTGAATTTGGATCAAAACCTGATACTAAAAGTGAAATAGGAGATGATTTTCTGGCTCCTAGTGATTATTTAGGATCTAGAATTGAGCAGTAAGTGAGTATAATGGGAAATATAACTGATGGATAAAATCAAAGAAATACAAAAATTTAAAATAAGCCTTTTAAAATAAGCGAGTTAAAAAGAAATAGCTCAAGAACTGAAACAGCTGAATAAGAAAATAAAAGAGCTCAATCATCCTAGCTATAGCAACAGTCATCTGAAATAAAGAAAAATAGACAAGGTCTTTCAATAAAGGAGAAAAAAAGACTCCAGCAAGAAGAAGAAATATTAAAGAAAATTAACTCTAATCAACAAAATTAGATATGGAAAATAAATGATCCTTAAATTAGATAGTTAGAACAATAATAAAAAATTTTAAGAGATAAGAAAAAGGAATAAGTTGAAAAAATTGAGAAATCGTTAATTGATATGGAGAAAAAAATGACGAAGAGAAATAAATTAAAAGTTATAGCTCTAGTTAATGGTAATGACAATATGGAAGATATGGATTTTAATAAACCGATGACAGAGTATGATATTGAATTAGCTGAAAAAGAGGGATAAATGCATGAACTTGAGAGACTCGAAAGGTAATAAAAAATGCAAGAATTAAATGAGTAGAATGTAGATGATTTAACGAATATGAGTGCATCAGAGATGAGAAATAGACGTCTATTTATTACGGATTGCTTGAAGAATAAAAGCAGTATGCAATAGAGTTTTTATTCACAAATGTCGTAACAAGCTAATGAGAATTTATAAGCTGGTTTTAATGAGTTTAATGAGTTCAATTAGGAAGAAGAGTCTAAAGAGTTAGAAGATATGGATGAGGAAAGCAGTATTCACGAAGTTAGTAATGGAAATAATTAGCATATCATTAATAGGAATATTTTAAATGCCTTCAAAACTTAAAAGTAGCAAGCTGAGTATGGGATTGAAAACTTCTTGAATCCTGAAGTTAGAGAAAGGCTTAGCTAACTGCTGAGTGGATGTGAGGATTTTGATTTGAAAAAAGAAGAAGAAAAGCTAATTGAATAAGGAAACCCATTTGGGTTGACTGAAGAGTAGTAAAAAGAGTTAAAAAATATTCAAAAAAACTTAGAAAAAATTAAAATGGATGACAACACAATTTAGCAAATTTTAGGGCATGAGCTTTTTTCATTGAAAGACGCTATTTTACCAAAAGATCCTCAGCTAAGAGACTAAGCAGAAATAAAAATTCTTAAAGAAAAGATGAATTCAGTGAATGAAAGACTTAGAGATTTATTTGATGTAGAGAAAAGAAAAGAAGCGAAGAGCAAAGTTGGTAGCAAAGTGGAGAAAATTAAAATACAAAATTTAGTTTAGCAGCTTATTGAATAAAATGGAAATGCTGAACCAACAATCGAAATCTAGAATCTCATATCAGACTTTGAAGAAAATTAACATTTACTTGAAGAGAGCAAAAGAATAATTTCTGATTTGCAAGGATAGGACATTGAAAAAGAAGTAGGGGAATATAATCAGATATTATTAGAGGCAATTGAGATTCAGAAAAAATATGAAGAAATGCTTGATTTAAATACATAAAATGCATTGATGGAAGAATAGCAAGATATAATAAAATCTTTCAAAGATAAATTTGATGAAATTTATTAAACCCAAAAAGAAATTGAAGAGAAAGAAAAAAAATTCGTTTAGGTTGTAAAAGAAAATAACTTAGCTGATTTGCTGGGAATGTAATTCAATGAACATAATGATGACTATGAAATAGAAGATATTAATTAGGTCATGAAAGATGAAGAATAAAAACTTTAAAGAGAAATTGAAGCAGAACTGTAACGAATATAAAAGAAATATGATCAATTTGATGAAAATTTAATTGATTAAAAGTTACAAGAAATGTATGATTATGATGCTATGATTACATAAAAGCTTAATGAAATTAATCCAAATTTATTGGATGACCTCAGAGAATCAGTATTAAAGTAGTAAGAAGAAGTAGAATAGTAAAGATCCTAAGTATTTCAAAGAAATCCCTATAGAGAATATGAATTAAGTTTAAACTAAGACTAAGATGATTTATAATAATAAATAAGTGAAGAGTAGGATGAGAATATTACTCATAGTTAATACTATGAAGAACAAGAAGAAGATACAAATAACACCCTCAAAATTTAGCTTGAAAATAATTTTAATGAAGAATAAATTTAAGAAACCATAAATATCCTAGAAAAGAGACAAAGAGAGAAAGAAGAAAGAGAGAGGAAAAAATAGGAATATTTCAATAAAATGTAACAAGTAAAATAGCATGAATAAATTGTAAATGAATTATAGGAAAAATAAGAAATTAAGTAAGTTGAAAATTTTTAAATGCTATAAGATTCTCTAATGCAGTAAGAATCAATTGAAACTAACACAAATTCAATCAACCAAAGTTCTAAAAACAGAGATGAAAGGCAATTTGAGTTTGAAGACAGCTTAGAAATGTGAAGATAGTATAAATTTAAAAATGCTTCACCAATTAAAAAATATTAAAATATCTGTTTAATTTACTCTCAACAAAAACTTTTTTAAAATTAACTTAACTTGCCAGTATAATTAATTGCTGATGGCGTATGTTTATAGAAGTTTGAGGATAAATAAATAAGTAAAAGACATAAATGTAATTTAAATAAAAACTCTTAAATATTCTAAAATAAGCAGGATATTTATGGAATAATATATTTCTACCACTGAATGATTATCCTGATATATTGTATTTCATAAATTATGTTATAACTAAAATATTTATGTGATATTTATTCAAACCAAAATTATTAATAACTAGTATTTCAAATTATCTGTTTAACCTCTTTTCAATATCTCAAAAATAAGTTAAATTTAATTCATTTTTTACATAAAAATAAAAGTTTAATTTATTTAATTTCTTAAAAAAATTTAATGGCTTTTTGTATGAGATTTTTATTTGTTAAATTGAAAAAATTTATAAAAAATTTTTTTTATTTACTGAATTAAAAGATTTTCTTTATAAAAATAAATAAATCCCTTTAAAAAATATAATAAAATGATTTAATAAAAATAATAATTCAATTAAATAAATGAATTTAAAGTGTATGTTTAACAAATAAATCTTGTTTAAAGTTTTAAATTTACTTTAATGCAATAATTTTTTATATAAATAATATAGTAAATGCGCCAAACAAAGTATTAATTATATTTTATACAAAGTATTGATATTTTTTATATTTTTTAATTTTTGATTTGGATTTTTGATAAAATTTCAAATTAAGATAATATTTATTATTAATTATTAGCTGTACTTTAATTAAATTATACATCAAGAATTTAAATGAGAGAACTTATAACTATTTAAGTAGGTCAGTGTGGAAACTAAATTGGTGCTAAATTCTGGGAATTAGCGATAAAAGAACACTCAAAATATAATAAATCTTCTGTCTATGATGATGCTCTTTCTTCTTTTTTCCGTAATATAGATAAGAGGTATTTTTGAATTGATCAATTGTATTAATCACTATATAATTTATGATTCATAATAGCTCTAAAGGACATGAATTAAAAGTTGGCAGTGAAATAATCAACTTGAAGGCAAGAGTAAATAAATAAATTATAGAAAAATATAATTAATTTAATAACAATTCAGTCTATAATAGTTGATATGGAAGAGGGTGTCACAAATCAACTTTTAAAGAGTGGTAAAAAATGAATACAAAATCAAACAATTCAATTTATTAGAAAATTGTTCTAACTAAGACTTTCTATTTATTTAAATAAGATATTGGAGATCTTTTTGATTAGAGATAGTTCATAAATGATGTGAGTGGTGCAGGAAATAATTGGTACATTCAAATATAGCTCTATATATTAAATAATTTAATTTTATTAAATAAGGGCTCATGGTCACTTTTTCTATGGAAATAAGTATAGAGATAATATGAGTGAAAGAGTAAATAAATACTTTTTAAAAAACTTTAAAATTCAAAAGTAGTTTTTTATATGAAATTATAAATAATAATAAACAGATCAGGAAAGCTGTAGAATAATGTGATTCTTTGTAATGTTTTTTCTTGATGCATTCTTTAGGAGGAGGAACAGGATCAGGATTAGGAACATTCCTACTCTCATGTATATATATACTTTTAAAAGTACTTTAAAATAATAGATTCATATAAATTAAAAAGTAATTGAAGATGAATATCCCGATGTTTATAGATTTACAGCTTCTGTATTTCCTCAAAAGGATGATGATGTTATAACCTCACCTTATAATAGGTAATAATGCATATTTAATAGAATTAATAATAATATGTTTTTTTGCTATTTAAATTTAACTTTATTAGAGAATAATAAATTACACAAATATTTTATCTGATTATGTTTATAAAAAAATAAGCTTTTTTTCTTTGTATGAGCTAGCTAAGCATGCCGATTGTGTGTTTCCTATTGATAATTAAGCTTTAATGAATATTTGCTACTAAATTGATAATCCAAACAAGGTAAAGTTGGCAAAGGATAATATAAATGTAAGCAAAGAAGAAGAAATAAAAATAATGATGAACAAAGGTTCTAAGATAACTTAAGCAGGAACTGAAGAAAAGAAAGAAAAGCCTTTTGATAAAATGAATAATATTATTGCACATTTACTCAGTAATATTACATGGTAAATTTATTTGAGAAAATGGCTCATAAAAATTAATTTGAATTTAAATTAAAGCTCTATGAGATTTGAGGGAGTTCTAAATGTTGATCTTAATGAAATAACAATGAATTTAGTTCCTTATCCTGATTTACATTTCTTAATATCAAGTATAGCTCCGCTTTATTCCTTATCGGATAGCAACTTATAGCCTAGAAGATTAGATTAAATGTTTAAAGACTGCTATCATCCTGATTATTAGCTAGTTAGTGTGAATCCCTTTTAAAATAAGTATTTAGCAGTAGGATTAATGGTAAGGGGATCAGTTCCCTTTTCTGATGTAAATAGAAATATCAAAAAGCTTAGAAGTGAGTTAAATATGATTTACTGGAACCAAGAAGGTTTTAAGTACGGTATATGCAACACACCTCCTATAGGCCAAGTAATTAAATTTTTTTTAATTAAATTATTTATTTTAAAAAAATATAAAAAAAGCCTTACTCCTTGCTATGCTTGGCAAATAATACTGCAATAAGAGATCAGTTTTCGACTATGGTAGAGAGATTCAACAAACTATATAAAAGGAAGGTAAAAATTTAATAAAGGAATTATCAATTTAACAATTTTATTTTTAGGTGTTTGTTCATCATTATACAGAATATATGGATGCAAAGCATTTTGACGAGGCTTTGAATTCTATCACATCTCTTATAAGTAAATATGAAGAACTCCATAAAGCTGAAGAACCTTCTTCTCAACCAAGATTGAAACCTTTGATTTGATTTTTTAAAGGGTTTACTTTTAATAGGATCATGATTAATTAATTTGTGCTGAAACAGTAATAATAAAAAACTTAGAACAAAAAAATGATTGAAAATAATTAAAAAAATATTAAAAATATTTCAAAATTAATTGAGTAAATTAACAATTTTCTTTTTTTTTTTTTGAAAATATCTATTTAATGCTGGTTGGCTTTGGCTAAGCATAAAAAACACAGTGTAGAAAATTTATAATTAATTAACTAACTAATATATAAAGGTGGTAACTAGAATTATATATATTTATATAGATAGATGTGCATAAATTTACTAAATTTATAAACTCTAAATTATTTAAATCCATTCAAAATAATTCACTTTCTTTGGTTTTTGTAGTTTTTAAGTATTTCCTATGAGTCAATCACTTGATTTTTTCCCATGTTGTTAATTTTTTTCTCGTCTTCTGGAGATTTCTATTTATCGATTTATATATCTGATGAATTGTAATCTAAATTATGTTTATATCTAAGCCATTCGTTGTATTATTCTTCATCGTATGTTTTAAAGTTCACATTTGGGAGGAGTTTTTGCAGGTAATCTATCCTTATAGGCTCGTCATTCATAACTTGGTAGTGAACTTTTTCACAAATGTCCTCCATTTAAGGAGGAATAGGCTCAAATTTAGCCTTAAATACCATTTCTTCTATTTTTTATATGATTTGCGTTTTTTAATTACCTTTCAGTAATATGCGCTATATATTTTCATCCTTTTAAGATCCTAAGTATGAGGTAGTGTTTTTAAAGAGTCCCTTGAAAAAAGATTTCATGAAAAGCTTTGATATTTTCTTCAAATAAAATGAATAGGGATTTAATGCTACAAGAGAAATATTAAACGAGTAAAGTTCAAATTAAAAAAAAATTGAAGTGTGAATAAATATATTTATTAAATAAATTAAAAAGACTTTCAATATTAAGATATAACTAAGAATAACTTTCAAATTATTTCCTAGACAATATTTATTTAATTAATTAATTAATGATTTTATGCTAGCTCATTTAAAAATTTTTTAAATATTTTAAACACAAACATGCTTTAAACTCATTTGAAGTTTTTAAAGTATGGCTCTTGTAAAATATAATTATATTGAACTTCTATTTTCTGATCTAGGTAGTAGAGTAATCTTTACATTTTTATAATTAATCTATTAAAGCTTAGATTAGATTAGAGAGAAAATATGTTAAATTTTTTTATAGCTTTTCAGATTATAAATTTTAAGAGTTTTAAATTATCAAATTTTTATCTTTTTATTATTATTTATAATTTTTAATTAATTATTAGTTATTCTATAGCAGGATAACTCCCTGCAAATTCTGCAAATAAAGTTTGCTGGTTTGGTATGTAAAATATGGAAAATGTGATTTTGATTTTCTGCAACAATATTTGATTCATAGAAAAAACAAAAGTAATGAAATATGGAAGCAAAAAAAACAATACGAATATTTTATAAAATGCAATTAAGTGTCATAATATTAAAATTTTATTTTTATTTTAGTTTAAATTATTAATTGCTTTTGCTTTCGTAATCACAATCATCCTCAGAGTTGACCGCAATCTAAGATAGCACATGCAACTTTAGTTTTTCCGGTTGAAGTACCTTGGCCTTCTAACTTTTTAACGATATCTAAACCCTTGGTGACCTTACCAAAGACAACGTGCTTACCGTCTAACCAGGGGCAAGGAACGGTGGTGATGAAGAATTAGGAACCGTTAGTGTTAGGACCAGCATTAGCCATGGATAACATACCAGGTTCAGTGTGCTTGTAAATGAAGTTTTCATCAGCAAACTTTTCACCGTAGATAGATTTACCACCAGTTCCGTTTTGCTTAGTGAAATCACCACCTTAGATCATGAATTAAGGAATGATTCTATGGAAAGGACATCCCTTGTAACCGAAACCCTTTTCACCAGTGCATAAAGCTCTGAAGTTTTCAGCAGTCTTGGGGACATTAGAAAATAATTCGAATTCGATTCTGCCAGCGTTTTAACCACCGATACTGATGTCAAAGTAAACTCTAGGGTTAGCCATTGTTTTTTGCTTTTTTTAAATTTTTTAATAAAGATATTTTGATGTAAATATTTATTTATTATTTTTTAGTATCTATTTTTTTTTATTTCAATCAATCAAAAGCTAATACTACATGAGCAACCTTCTAAATAATTTAAAAACTGACGAATTAATCAATTTACTTTTTTTCAATTTAAAGGAAGATTCTTTTTTTCCAAAATAATTAAATTAAATAAATAAATAAATACATGCTATCCTTTTTATATCTCTTTGTTCTTCTAATTTCTTCTTCTTCTTCTTCTTTCAAGCTATTACTTTATTTCAAATATTTTATTCCATTATCCTCTGATGTTTTAAATAGATCCTACATTTCTTTCAAAGGTGATCGATCGATCAATCAATAAATCAATCAATATATTTCTAATTAAACTTCGACATATAAAATTATCTAATTAATTCAAAATTTTCAGACTACCTTGCTTTACTATTTGCTTTATTTGCCCTCTCATATCTATAAATAAATATATGAATTAAATAAAAATTTCACTTAAATAGTTTATTTGAAAACAAAAATTATTATATTAATAAATATTTAAGATTTTTTTCTATATTTGGTATTTTAACGATTTAATGACTACTAACTTTATTTATTAATTCTAAAAATAAAATAAACTTAATTATATTTAATAATGTGCTTTATATTTACCTTAAAATTTGAATTTGAATTCTAGCAAACATTTAAATATAAAATTATTTTTTTTATAAATCAAAAGTGAATTAATATTTATAATTCAATATCTAGAATAGTTATTTTAAAGTGAATATTGCTGTTTTTATACATTTGTTAAAAAATTTAAATAAAAATATTTCATAGATAAAACATTTATTTAAATAACATCAATTTGTTTTATGAGTTATGAATTCTTTTTTATTTAATTTTTTTCTTCTCATTTTTTAAATTTTATTAAGTTAAAGTTTGCATTATGAATATCCAAACGAATTTTAAAGGTACTAATACAAAAAGTAATTCATATTGTAGCATCTCAATTTCTGGCTCATATAGAATTCTAAGAGTTTCTAAACCGAGGTATGAATTGATAAGTTGAAAATTTTTGGAAGTTTAAAAAATATCTGCTTGGATTTTAATTTTAATCATGGTAAGATAATCCTAACTTTTATAAATTTATAAAAAAACAATTAAAAATATTTTATTCTATGATTGTGAATTAAGAATCTAAAATTTTTAATAGAATTTCCTCTTCAAAACATCATTTAATTACTAAGTTGTTTATTAAATTTTGTTTACAGCTTTTTAAATTTATTTAACTAATTAAACCATAATAAACAATGTAAAAGTATAATTTGAGTTTGGTATAATACAAATATATAAATGAGAATTAAGCATCAAACATATTTTTACTTTTATTTGTTAAATATATCTATTCATTTTAAAAAATTTACCATGATAATAATTTACATTGGTCATTTATATGATCAGTAGTTTTTTTAATTCATCAAGCATATCAAATAGTTCTAAATAGCTTAAAATTTTTTATTTATTTGATAATGCTAAAAAATGCAAAAACTCATTACGATGAAGATCTTATATGCTACTTTTATAATTATAGAGAACATGTCCAAATTATATAAATATGAATTATTGATTTAAAATAATAAAATGATTTTTCTTTTTTGATTTAATTTTTAAATGTTTACTGAAGATTATTAATATAAAAAAAGTAATAAAAAAATAATATTTTAAAAAATAAAATAATTTAATCAGTTTGTTTCTAAATTTAATATAAAATAGAATTAAAAAATGAAGATAACTGAAAATTAATTATAAAATTAATAATTTCTACAATATTAATTTAATCAATTAGTTAGTTGTTTTATATATGAAACCTTCTTGCTTTAAATCATGAGGAATAAATAATTAAATAATTGAAAAAGCTTTAGTAGTTTTTACTAAGCACATCGTTAGTTAATAATAAAAAACAAAAGGATTTTCTGATAGTATCAACTTATAATAAATTGGGCTTTTGCATACTAAAATATAAAATAAAATAGAAATTATATCAATAAAATGTTTATAAAAGAGGCTTTCGAGAGAAGATTAAAAAAAGAGGTAAACATTTTACTTAAAACAGTTTCTAATGAACATAAAACTAATATTTTATTCGTTTCATTTATCAATTAAAATTAGAATATGTATAGAGAACTTTTATATAAATAAAATTAATTTAATAAAATCATTAGCAATAGCTTGAAAATGAAGGGTTAAACTAGGAGAAACACAAACTTCATAAAATTGGCAGCGTTAGAAATGGAAAAATTAATTTTGATAGGGATGAGTAGTTCTTTTCTCAAGATGATATACCATAAAAGGCTTTAGAAATAAAGAAACAAATTAAAAATTTTATCGATTTAGACATTTTAAACCTAAAGAAAAAAGAATGGAATAGTTCTTGTTCTGTTCCCAAGAATCCTCTCTTAGAAGAGACTCATGAACGTAAGCTTATAAAAGTAAATAAATAAATTTTGTTCATTTTTTATGAGATTAAATCAGCAACCCAATTTGATAAATAGATAGAAAAATAAATAAATACTTTTGATTGGTAATAAATATTAAGTGTTAGTTATATATTAATTAATTTTCTCAGTTTTTCTTTCCAAAATTTACTCTACAATAAGCAAAGATCAAACAAACAGTTTCCATTAAATCAAACACCTAAATGGGAAAATTATTTTTTTAAATAGATAGAATCGTGTGGAAGAATAATTTATTTTCCAAATACATTTCAGTTTGACATGTTTGAAAGGTTTTTTTAAAGGCATTGTGAGAAAAAAAGTAAAAATAGACATAAATAACACAAGAGAATCAATAAATCCTAATCCAAATACAAAATAAATGAAATAAATTATAAACTTTTACAGATAATTTTAATAAAAAAAAAATTCAAACAACTCTTATTAAGTTAGTAAGTGATTGATTGGATGGTTGATTATAACTAATTAGATAAATTAATATAATTTTATAGATCATTATTTGTTATTTTGGTATTAATTCTCATCAGGATTTTCAATTTTTTTTATCTTTCTCTTCATGAGCTTTTTGCTTAGCCCTCATGATTTCTGCGTGGGATTCTTTATTTTTATGATAATCAACATTGCCTTAGTTGTTTTTATCAGCGTTTCTTTTACGAGCTCTTTCTCTGTCAACGTCTCTTTGATTTCCTCTGCTCATTTTAAATAATCTCTGCTTCTTTTAAATCTTACCTGCTCTTTTTTACTAAAAAAGAGATTTAAGTGTTTTCAACCTATTTTGTTTTTTTTTTTTTTTTGATCAATGATTTTTTATAAATCAAATTATGAACTATTTGATGAAATGATTTACTTTTTAAATTTTCGATAAATTTTTCTCAAAATTTATAATGCATTATAAGGACTTTCTATTCTTTTTTCTTCCAATCAATCATTTTATAAAATAAATCGATCTTTTTCACGCTTATTTCTAACTTATTAAAGACCAATAATTTCTAATTTACAAATCTATAATTAAAATATATTAAACTTTTTACTTAAATAATATAGATTAAATTAGGATTATACGATCGTCCGATACCTCCCTTGAAAGATAAAATCATAGAACTTGGAACAGAGACAAGAAATGATTATACAGGCTGGAATGTTAGCACTTAATAAGATATAAAACAAAGAAGAACTCATCTTGATGACTTGTATGAATTTTATTAAAAATTACTTAATAAATTAAGTAATATACCAATTTAAAAAGCACTATCAAATCCAAAGTAAAGAATAAAGAAAAAGAAGATGGACTTCTAATGGAATACAGAAAGCCACTAGAATAATAATTAGATTTAGTCAATCACTACAGAGAAGTAAAGAAAAAAGAAAAAGAATTTAGAGATGAAATAAGAAAAGAGTAATTAATTTATTAAATTTATTTATGATAAATTAATTCTATTAATTCTTATTTAAAACTTTTATTCTTATTATTAATAATTAATTAATAGATTCTTGAGAAGTAACCCAAAATCTACAAAAGAAAAGACTGATGCAGCTGTTTATAGATTAACATATGAGGCTAAGCTTAGAATAAATTAAATTTAACAAGTAAAAAATATTAACTTTTATTAAAATGTACATGAATTATAATTATAATAATATAGGATCCTAAAGTTACCTTTAAACCTTAATTATATAAACCAGACGAAGATAAAAGAATTAAAGCAACTCACTCAGGTGTTTATTAGAAATTTGGATTTGAGAAAGATGCAAACGGTCAATAAAAGGACCACTATGCATGGTCTTGTTGCATGAATTCTGAAAAGGATAGTTAAGGATGTAACAGATAAGTAATAGATAAGAAAAAATGGATATATGCATCTTATGTTTCTTGAGTATATATAATAAATTGTAAAAAATCAGTAATTAATAAATTTAATACAGTATAGTTTGTATCAAACCTACTTTACTTTGAGATGTTTTAAGTAAAACTTAATTTATTATTTACAAACCAAACATATGTTTTATTTTAATTACTTTTGATATAAAGTTTTAATTTTTTATTTCTTATTTTAGATCTCTAAAAAAAAACTCATAATTAATATAATAATAATAATAATAATAATAATAATGACCTTTGTTAAGCTATTCTTATTTTTTTATTAAAATAAACTATAATAAATTATTATTTTTATTCAATTTAAAAATGGAAATAGATTAATTAATTAATTTATCGGATAGAAATGTTTTGGTGTTGATTCAAATTTAATTAGAAAAATTATTTAATTGAAAATATGAAAGTAACAATGTAAAGTAAATAGTAAATATATCACAGTAGTAGGGGTGTTTAGTCTTTTTAGAATGATATTCAAAAGAATATCAAAATTATTTTATCAAAACTTGCTCGGATTTCAAAATCCTAGTAAAAATAGTCACTTCTTGGTAGAACAAAAACCACAGATGTCAAAATAAAAAGTACAATTAATTTCTCCCTAAAGTTTTAAATCATGGTATCTATCTAATTTAGGGGTTATAATTTGTAACCCCTCAAATACCTTAACATTATTGATGGATACAATTTAAGATTAAAATTTAACTGGGATATAAAAGCTTGGCATTTATATTATTTAATTTATAAGATATAATATAGCACTAAAAATTTCAAATGATTTAATAGTTTTTTTATTATTTAAAAATATTTATTAACTTATAAAAATGTGAATGATATTTATAAATATGTATATATATATTAATTTAAACACATAATATATAGATATACTCACAAAATAACATACAATTATATGACTCATCAATATTATTTAAATTTAGCTTAATTTGTCTTGTACAAGAGACTCTTTTATAAATATAAAAATAATAATAAAATATATCTATGTATCTATCTATATCTTTGGTGAAAAAAACTTTTAAAATGTTATATAATAAAACATATGATATTCAATTATTCATGCATTTAATATTTATTTATCCTTTTTTTACCATTCGTTTATCATCAGAAATTTTTTTCAAAAATAACTAATCTTTTTGATTTAAGACACTTGTTTATTACTTTGAATTCTTATGATTCATTTATCTAGTTTAATCTTTAAAAATAAATTTGTGTAAATTTTAAATAAATATTAAAAAAATAAACTTTTAAAATAAAAATTATTTCTTAAATAAATAAATAAATAAAGTAATATTTGTGGAATAAAAAAGATAAAAAAAAAAATAAATCAAATAAATAAATTCAAGGAGCTTTTTTGTTTTATATTCATTTTATAGTTAAAAATATCACAAACCAAAACAAATAAACTGTTTTTACTCAAGGTTAAGTGTCAAATTTGAGAGATTAATGCAATTTGCTAAATTAGAACCTAAGTCTGATGCCCCCATTGCCTAAATTTAATTTCCACTTTTTAAATATTGATGAAAAAATATATTATTAAATAGTTAATTAAAAGGAAAAAATGAAATAATAAGATTAATTAATTAATAATAAAATCAAAAGTTAAAAATAAAATGATGAGTGAGTTAAATTAACAAAGAAAGAAGAAAAAAAAGCAAACAAGCACAAAAATAAAAAATAAAAAAAAGAGCTTATTGTTTTAAATTTAGTTTTTATAATCAAAAATATATCAAACCAAAACAAATAAACTATTTTTACCAAAGATCAAGTGTCAAATTTGAAAGATTAATACATTTTGCTAAAGCAGAACCTAAGCATAATGCACCCATTTCACCAATTTCGTTGTAACTTTTTAAATATCGAAGAAAAAATATATAATTAAATAATTAATTAAAAGGAAAAAAAAAAAATATGAAACAATACGATTAATTAATAATAAAAGCAAAAGTTAAAAATAAAATGATTAGTGAGTTAAATTAACAAAAAAATAAGAAAAAAAAGTAAATAAGCACAATAAAAAGTAAAAGAAAAAAGAGCTTTATTATTTTAAATTAGTTTTTATAGTTAAAAATATCACAATCCAAAACTAATAAATTGTTTTTACTCAAGATTAAGTGCCAAATTTGAGAGATTAATGCCTTTTGCTAAAGCAGAGCCTAAGCTTGATGCACCCATTGTACCAATTTAATTTTAACTTTTTAATTATTGAAGAAAAAATATTTTATTAAATAGTTAATTAAAAGGAATAAATAAAAAAAATATAAATGAAATAATAAGATTAATTAATTAATATTAAACGCAAAAGTTGAAAATAAAATGATGAGTGAGTTAAATTAACAAAGAAAGAAGAAAAAAAAGCAAGTAAGCACAATAAAAGAAAAAAGAGCTTTATTGTTTTTAATTAATTTTTATAATTAAAAATTAAAAATATCACAATTCAAAACAAATAAACTGTTTTTACCTAAGATTAAGTGTCAAATTTGAGAGACTAATGCATTTTACTAAAGCAGAACCTAAGTCTTATGCACCCATTCCACCAATTTAATTACAACTTTTTAAATATTGAAGAAAAAATATAATTAAATAGTTAATTAAAAGTAAAAAATGAAGAAAAATATGAAATAATAAGATCAATTAATTTTGAAAGCAAAAATTGAAAATAAAATGATGAGTGAGTTAAATTAACAAAGAAAGAAGAAAAAAAGCAAGCAAGCACAATAAAAAGAAAAAGAAAAAAGAGCTTTATTGTTTTAAATTAGTTTTTTATAAATAAAAATATCACAATCCAAAACAAGTAAACTGTTTTACAAAAGGTCAAGTGTCAAATTTGAGAGATTAATGCATTTTGCTAAAGCAGAACCTAAGCCTGACGTACCTTCATCACCAATTTAATTTTAACTTTTTAAATATTTATTTAAATATTGAAGAAAAATATATACCGTAGATTCTCGTTAATTAAGGACCAATTTAATTAAGGACTTTTTTGAGTGGTATTTAAAAAAGGACTAAATTTTTACAAAAATTTTGATTTGAAAAAGTCCTTAATTAACGAGAAACTACGGTAATTAAATAGTTTTAAATTAATTTTTATAATTAAAAATATCACAATCCAAAACAGATAAAATGTTTTTACCTAAGATAAAGTGTCAAATTTTATAGATTAATGCATTTTGCTAAACCAGAACCTAAATCTGATGCACTTTCATTACCAATTTATTTATAACTTTTTAAATATTGAAGAAAAAATATAATTAAATTTTTAATTAAAAGGAAAAAATGAAAACAAAATATCAAATAATAAGATTAATTAATTAATAATAAAAGCAAAAGTTAAAAATAAAATAATGAGCTAAATTAATAAAAAATGAAAAAAAATCAAACAAAATAAAAAATAAATAAAAATAAATCAAATAAATTAAAAGGGCTATAATGTTTTAAATTAATTTTTATAATTAAAAATATTAGAATCAAAAACACATAAACTGTTTTTATCAAGTGTAAATTTTAATAGAAAAAATATAAAATGATTAAAAAAAATGAATGATAAATAATTAAAAATAGAAATTTAAATTAAGTTAAAATTGTTAAAAAATATTTTTTAAATAAAAATAAATCAATGAATAAATAATGATGATAATTTCTATTAGAAAAATTATTTTTACAAATAAATTGAAATTAATATTTTTAAAAAATATTAATAATATTTATAAATTAAATATACCTCAGATCAATATAGAGAACTTAATGAGATAAAAGTGAAGAGTTTAAAAACTTTTTTTATTAATATATATAAATTTAAAGGGTTTAATAAAAAAAAATAATTACTTCTTCTAATTTTCTGAAATATTTAATCCATTATATCATTTAATTTTTTTCCAATAATATTGAATAGCAAATAATTTATGGAATTTAATTAATTATCAATAGATAAAAAGAACAAATAAAATATAATAATTAATTATCAAATATATATTTATAAATTTGCTTTTAAGAAGATATGTCACAGAAAAATTAATTTAACATTTATTATTTAGTCTTTGTATTTAAAATATATATTTAAAAATATAATAGGAATTAGAGAAGCAGTTACTTATATTTGAAATCATTCTAGTAATTAATTAATGTTCTTAAATTTTATAAAAATAATCTTAATAAGTAGATTTTTACGTTTTAGCTCAGTAATTAATTATAGGAATATTTATAATATTTCTAATTCTTCCCTAATCCCATAAAATAATTTAATTAAATTTTATGAATTTAAAACAATAAGAATTTTTTTGCATAAAAAATTAAAAATTCTCTACTTGGTTTTAAAGCAAATGTATAAAATATATTTATGTAGATAAATTTTTTTAAAAAGAAAAAAAGCATCTCAACTGCCATTTAATCATTTTCTGTATAAATAAAGTAAGTAGGTAGATAAGTAATTAAGTAAATTAGTAAATAATTTATAGTAATTTCATTTATATGTAGGTGTACTTTTTTAATGTAGTAATAGTGAGTGTATTGTATAATTTAATATTTTCTTTAATATATGCTTTTTATTTTATCCAGTTTACTATTTAAGGAATTCAGAGTAACTCTTCGTCAGAGTATCCAAAAGAATCTTTGCTATTTACTTCTATAAAAGATAAAGTAGAGCACTAGCACAGATTTAATGCTTTGTTTGTCTAATATACCAAATTGAGTGAAGGAATTAATGGTATTTAATCTTTTATTTCTTTTTGGTTATTAGCAGGCTATTTAACTTTTTTATCGTTTTTATGTTTAAGAGAGTATTTTAAATGCTCTAAAAATCTTTCTAATTTGTATCCTAAACTTATTTTTTAAGCTTATTCTTTTTACAACTCATCAGTTTTTAAGCCAAGAGGCTCCATGCATTTTTTTTCAGCTATCCTTGCTAGGGCTTCAATAAATTCTATAAATTCCATATTTATGAACTTATCGTTATTAATCTCATCTATTTAGGTCATTATAGATAAATTAAATGTCACCTAAGCGTCTTTTTCAGTAAAAGACTCATCAATTAACTTAAAATGCCTAAGCATATCTATAAATTCATTAATATTCATTGTTTTATGAGATTTTAAACTCCTTTTTTCTCCTTTTCTACAATCAGCCCATTTTTACCATATTTCTTCAATCATAACATGATATTTATTAATAACAATTTCACATACTTCATTCCAATATCTTTGGTCTCTCCATTGTTGAGGATCTTCAATTTCTTCAAACATTTATGAAACTGATTTCCTTGAGAAAAACTTATTCAAGGTTTTTTGAACATTTTTACAGTTTCCGTTTCTCATGTATTTATCACAAGCAATTCTAACAATTAGCTCTAAAAATTAGAATCTAATAACAGCCTTGTCTGGATTTCTGTAGTTTTATTATTTTGATGTACTTGAAAGAGCTGAAATAAAATTGTAATCGACATCTGAAATTTTGCACAATTTACCGTCTGATATTTTCATTTTATTTGCTAAAGCAACAAATTAGCTTTAAGAGATAGCAGGTATGTCACCAATCATTCCTAAAGACGAATGGTATTTGTAAAAGATTCTTATCATATTGTAATATGTTTTAAGCAATTACTTCACTTCAAATTTTTCTTCTGGAGATGTAGTATAAGAATTCAAAATTGTGTTTATTTTTGAGTTTTCCCAATCAAATTCAAAGCATTTGCTAATTAATTCTTTTGAATCTTTAGCAAATGTCGAGAAAATTGATTATTCAACTGACCACTTTTTTTAGCAATTAGAAATTGAAAAATATGTTTCTAATTTTCTAGGTCTGCACTCAATAGAAGGCTATTAATAAGAAGAAATGAGAGTTTAATTTTTATCAGTTACTATATAATTAACTACAAAAGGCTCTTCGTATGTAATCAAAGTAGAGTCAAGGTATTCTAGTTAAAAATTTTTTATTGGTGTCATATTAATTGAATTATTTTGGAGACGAGCTTATTTATTGTGTTAATGATTGTCAGAATCCTAAGGATTAGAAGATGATTCTGCTGCTTTCTGAAAACAGTAATTATTTGTTGATTAAGTAGAACTAAAGCTGGCTGTCTCATAATCTAAAGAATAATACAAAATTTTCTTTAAAGGATCACTAAAAAAGAATAGAATTTTTTTATTTGGAGGGCACATTCTTTTCACAAAAAATCTGTTTGGATTATTTGGATCAACATCCATATAATGAGGCCTGTAGTTTTCAAAATCAAGATGCAAAAAAACAGGTTTATTACAAAAAGAGCTGCTCTGCTAAGAAAATATCTCAAAAGTGATTTCTTGCCATCCATCACATATCCAACAAATATCTTAGATTTTATTGGTATCTTCTTTACATCTTAATAAAAAATTTGTTTGTTTGAAATATTTAAGAGTTAAAAATATTACTTTCTTTCTACTTATAAAAGGCTATTAATTCTTTAGTGTTGGTTATCCTTTAATAAACCTTAGCCTTAACTTAAGTTTTCTTGAATCATAAAACCTCTGGAGTCAAAAAACCAATTTCCTTCATTTCCATTATAATGTATTCCAAAGAGAGAGAAGTTTTCTTTCAAGTACAAAGAAATTTCTTAAGATTCTTGAAGAGGTATATTGTTATAGGAAAGATCTAAATGCTTCATTTAAGAATTATCTAAAGAACAACTCTTAATGATACTCAAACAGCTGCTCAAATTCTATGGATTTCCTAAGCCATTGTAGCTTAAGTCTAAGACCTAATTAAATAAACAAAAGTTTTTGATATTATAAATAAATTTATTTTTAATTACTTATAAACTATTATTTTATTCTAGTCCTTAGGCTATAGCTAAACCGCCCTGAGAAGAAATGTTATTCCAGTGAAGATAAAGTTCCTGTAGTTATGAATTTTTCAAAAGTTCTGAAATACCTTCACAACTACTATCAGTAATACCATTCTTAGAGATATTCAAAACTGCTATGCAAGATTCAATTAACGCTGGATAAATTTGATAAAAACCAAGATCATTTATTTTATTATTTTCCAAATTTAGTATTCTTAGTATTGGATATGTCAAGGTGCATAATAAAGGATTAATACCTAAGGAGAGATCTTAAGAGCCCAGGTTGTTAGATTCTAAGTTTATTTCTTGAATTTTTTAAGGTAGACATATGCTAATAATCTCCATTGACTTAGGTGTTAAGTTAGAGTTTTTTAACTTAACTATTTCAATTTACTCAAATTATGAATGAGATAACACTTTTTTTAACATTTAGGCGTATTTTTCTGTTATATTTTTGTTGGATATGTCTAAAATATTTTGATATTCTTTAAATTAGCAGTTACTGTCGCAGCCAATATAATTGAAAATGCCAAGCTTTTTAGGAATCACATTACAGTTTTTAGCCTCATTGAGCATTGCTATGTCGATTGGATTTTCAATTTAGTTGAAATTATTACTATCAACTATTTTTTTAATATTTTTCAAGTTCTTATAAGAATTTATTTTTGATAATTTTTAATTAATTTTAGAATCACTTGGAGAGTCGAAAATTAAACTCGGAGATTGAATTCCAGACAATGAAGTTATAGACCGACTGACAGTTCTCTAAGAATTTCTTTATTATTCTAATTTCAGATTCACATTCATGTTATCAATTAGAATATTATTTTTTTTCTGAATTTTGTTGTTTAGCACTAAACCATTTACGAATGATTATTTAAGTTTAGCTTTTATGCAAGGATTTAATTGTTTCACGTCAGAGCTTAGGTTTCTCTTCTAAAAAGCACTTTTTAAATTAATATTTGTAAAAATGCACTTCTATCTGTTTTAAGATTTGCTCTAAACATGGCGACTCATTGAGAATTTTCTTTCAAGTTAAGAAATTTCAGATTGATCTATTTACTTATTTTCAACAGAACCGTTAATGTTTAAAGTCTTTTATGAAGATGTGTAGTTAGTTAATTTCATTTTTGTTGGTGATTCAAAGCAATTTGTTTAAAATATCTTATGATTATTTAAAGATATTTGTTACTATCTTTTTGGGAGCTTTTATGGCTGTAAAATAGGAGAGTCTACTGTTAAAAAAGGCAGAGAAGCCATTTAGAGTTACTTAGAGTTGAATTTTATTTTTCAGTTTGTATTTTATTTTTTGATCTTATTTTTTATAGCATTTAGCCTAGTATGGTCAGAATATAAAGGAGGAAAATTGATAAAATTTATACTAGGAAAACTTAAATGATTCTAAAAATAGTTAAAAAATAATAACAACATTTATGTTTAATTAAGTTGAATGTAAATAAATTTACTATTAATTTCTGATTATTTTATTTTGTGTAAGATATATTTTATAATATAATAATAAATGTAAATTCTGGCAAATAATAATTTAGTTATTGATTATAATTTATCAACCTTGAAAATTTAATAATTAATTAATTAGTTAATTAATTAAATTCAAGAACTGCATTTAGGTTGTAAGGCACGTGAATTTATTTTAAATTTCAATTGTTTAAAAAAACTGGATTTTAATTAACTTTTAGCGTCTTAATTTTTTACCAATAAATAATACTTGATTAAGATAAGAGAAAAAAACTATTCAACATCTATCTGATGTATTAATAAATTATTAAATATGTAAATACATGAATCAGTCTACTAACGCAGATTTAACAACATATTTAATCAATTTAGAATATATTCATGAAAGCGAAAAGATATTAATTTATATGTTAAGTAGTAACCAATTACATCAATAACATTAAAATAATAATTAAATGACTTAATGTAATTTTGTTTGTTTAAAATACATTAGGTTGTAAGCCAATCATTTTATATTTATTATTATAAACTTTTATTAATTCAAGCACTTTATACATGAATTATACTCATTACATTTAATACATCACTATATCATTAATTCATTCAATAAATAAATAATTTTATTCTTATAAATCATAAAATCATAAATACTAAGCCATTCAATTAGTTGAAGTTAGTTATTTATCTAACTCTTAAATTTATAACCAAAGCTATTTACTGTTGAAACTATAAAAAATATATTTTTTATTAAAAATTCTTAATATTTATCTTTAGTATTTGTGACTTATAATGAAAGATAAACTGGTTAATTATTTTATTTAGACATTTATTCTACGTATTATCAAATTCAAATTCAAGCTCCAGATTCAATTTTTATAAAAATTATTCAACCTTTTGTTTGTTTGGTTATTTAATTAATTTTTTTATTGCTCTCTCTGCAGTCATCAATCAAAACGTTTTAACTAAAAAACATAAAAACTAATTTTGAATAAGATTTATTTTTATATAAAATATTTTTAAAATTCTTAATTTTCAAATACCTATAAAAAATAAATTACAGATAGAAGTAATTAATTGGATATCTTATATTTACTTTTTTGATATTTATGTAAAAACATGAAACCTAAATTTATATCTAGAATAATAAATTAATCCAGCAAAAATTAAATCTTCCATATTTAAATCTGGTAAAGTTATTAAAAATAAATTACTATTAAAACGCTTACACTTTTTATTTATTAATTAATTATTTTAATTTCAAAAAATAATCTAAATTGTTCAAGTAGTTAAATTGTAATGCTAACTATTTAGTCATATAAAATTTATACATTTTCGTTTGATTATCTAAAAATCCATTCAAAATTTATTTAAGGAATTCTTAAAGGGATAAAGCTTTTAATTTATTAATAATTTAACATCAAAACCCAATTAATCTTTTCTGAAAAATATTTAAGGTGTTTATTTTTATTAACTAAATATTTCATTTTAAGAATAAAGATGCTGCAAAAAGAAATGTTTGCATTTTTTGTAACAAAATAAAGTAGATTTATTGGGTTTAGATAATGAGAAAAATTAAAAGTATTTAGGCCATTAAGTTGAGAACTATTAATATGATTAAATTTAAATTATATCACAATCTAAATTAAATTAAAGCAATATAATTAATCTCTTTTTTATTAAATAAAATTTAAAGTTGATTTTTTTATAAAAACTTGATTTTCTGCCATCTGAAAAATACCATTATTAAATCTTACATAAAAATGTAAGTTCATAAAATTAATTTTTTAAAAATTAGTCCAGTATCAAATAAAACTTTATACACAAATAAATAAACAAGTTAAGGATTTATTAACTTTTTTTTCTTGAATTAAGCAATAAAGAATTTATAATGCTCTAAAAATAGCTTTAAATTTAAAAATGTTTTATCCTAAATATTCTTATTTAATATTTTTACTCTTTTAATTATAAATAAACAAATATATATCAATTATAATATTTATACTTAAAACAATGAATATCCTTTCATTAAATCAATTTTCAAATAATTTTAATAAAGAAAAAAAATTACATTTAGTTTGTATAAATTACATTTTATGCTTTAGTAAATTATATTTTAATAAATTTACTAGGAGTATTTAGTTAGTAGTTAGTTAGTTATTTAGTTAGATAGATAGATAATTAGTTAGTTAGTAAATTAATTAATAGTTAGTAGGTTAGATAGTAAGTCGTATTTATGTATTTTTTTTTTTAATGCTATTTATCAATTAATTTTTTATTACTAGGGTTATGATTAATTTTCTACAAAAGAAGTTCATGAATCTCTGCTGCTATACTCTAGTTAATATTAAATGAAATAATCCTAGAAGTTTTAATTAATTTTTTGGAACTATTTAGGAAGATCTTATCTTGAAAAAGTTGGTAAAATAAAATTTGATATGCTTCTCCCTAATTTTAGTGTTCTTTCAGAAATTTTTTTATCAGTTCTCTTTTACATATTTTCTTTTAAGTGATTTAAGAGGAGTTCTAATTTGTATTCTAATTTTATTTGATCAGTTTCTCCAAAATTTTAGATGCTTTTAAGCATTTCTAAAGGTATGAGGATTTTTTTTTCTGCAACTCTGCCTAAGGCTTCAAGAAACTCTATAAATGACATGTTAATAAATTTATTATTATTGATTTCATCAATTTGAATCATAATTGAAAGATTAAACATAATTTAAACATCTTTTTCAGTAAAAGATTCACTTAACAATTTAAATTGCTTAACCATGTCAGTAAATTCATAAATACTCATAGATTTTTGGAATTTCAAGTTTCTTTTTTCTTCTTTTTTACTGTCAGCCCATCTATGCCATATTTCTTAGATGGTGTCCATGTAATTTTTAAGTACTTATTCACATCCTTCATTCCAGAATCTTTCATCTCTCCATTTTTAAGGGTCTTCTATTTCTTCTATTACTGATTTGATAGATTTTTTATCAAAAAATTTTTAGATTGCCTTTTAAATACTTTTGCAATTTCCCTTTCTCATATATTTATCACAGATGATTCTTACAATCAGTTCTAAAAATTAAAATCTTATAACTGCTTTCTCAGGATTTAAATAGTTGCGTTCCTTATCTGTATTTGAGATAGCTGAAATAAAGTTGTAATCAATGTCTACTGTTTTATATAATTTTCCATCTGTCAATTTCATTTTGTTTGCTAAAGCAAGAAATTAACTCTAAGAAATTGTTGGTATATCACCAATCATTCCTATAGAAGAATGATATTTGTAGAAATTGATTAATAAATTATAATGGTTCTTAAAAAGTTCTTTTACTTCTTATTTTTCCTCAAGATTATTTAAGAAAGAGTTTAAAATAGTATTGATTTTTGAGTTTTCCCAATCGAATTCAAAGCATCTGTTAATTAAATGATCATAATCCCTAATGGAAGATAAGAATATTGAAGTTTTAATAGACCACGAATTATCTAAATTTAAATAATAAATTTTTTCTTCTTTCCTTGGTTTGCACATAATCAGAGATTCGTATTTGTTAGAAAATAAGTTTGAGCTTTTAACAGTTTTTATCTTGTTAATAAACAAAGGAGTTTAGAATTACACATTTTTGCCAGAGTATTACAACTCGAAAAATTTGTTCGCACTTTTAGTTTTTTAAGGAGTTACTATAGAATTTGAATTATCCTGTAATTCCATTTTATCTCCATGTGAAAAGAAAATTATTTCAGGATGTTCATTTGCCAAAAACAAGATTTTTTGGTATTCTTTTGCATGATAAACAATTTTACTATCAATATTAGTAAAGAAAAATAAAATTTCTTTATTTGGTGGACACATTCTGGTTAAAAAAAATCTGGTAGGGTTATTAAGATCATGCTTCATTAAGCAGGGTTAGTAATTATCAAATTAAAAGTGTAAAAAAACAGGGTATTTACAAAAAGAACTACTTTATTAAGTAAATATTTCAAAAGTAAATTCAACCCATCCATCACATATCCAGCAAACACCATTTTTTAAATTGTTTTATTGTGAGCTTTTAATAAATTAAAAATTTATTTTGAAAATTGTTTAAAAAATAATAAAATTTACTTTGTTCTTGTTTGAAGTCCTTCAATTCTTTAATGCTAAATATCTGGTTCTTATTCTTAAGATTATTCGTTTTACTTCATATATCCTTTGGAGTCAAAATACCAATTTCCTTCGTTACCCAAGTAGTGTATTCCAAATAGAGTTTTATTTTTTTAAATAGATGTTGATATCTCTACAGATTCCTCAATAGAAATATTATTATAAGAAAGGTCTAAGTGCTTTAATTTAGAGTTTTTATTTGAAATGCTATTAACAATGTTCAAGCAAGCATTTAGCCCTTGAGGAAATCCAATGTTATTTTTGCTTAAGTCTAAGACCTATTATATATTTTTATGATTATTTATTAATTGAAAATTTTAATAAAAACAAATTAATACTTGTAAGCTGTTGTTGCCTTCTAAACCTTAGGCCAGACAAAGTGCACCTTCAGAAGTGATATTGTTTTGGCTAATGTATAATTCATTGAATTCAGTATTTTTCAAGAAATTAGAAAAACATTCCATGCAGCCATCAGTTAAACAGTTTTAAGATAGATTGAGAACAGATAAATTATATTCAAGAAGAGCTGAGTATATTTAATTGAAACCAATATCTCCTATGTTATTGTTCTCCAAATTTAGAATTTTTAAATTGGAATAAAAAGATTTCTGTGAGAGTGGATTTAAGCATAGAGAAAGATCTTAACTTCCAAGGTTATTTGACTGTAGGTCTATTTCTTGAATTTGTTAAGGTAATTGCGAAAATAAAATCTCAAGAATTTAAGATGTTAGGTTATTATTTTTTAGCTTCAAAACAGTAAAATTACTCTTATTTGGTCTGTTAAGAATCTAAATGATTATTTTAGCAAATTTTTCTGATATTGTTTTATATGATAAATCAATAACATTTTGGTTTTGATTTGATTCTATGCTATCCTCTTAAAAGAAAAAGGAGTCAATTCCAAGCTTTTTTTGAATCAAATTAGAGTTTTCAGATTCTTTTAAAAAAGTAATATCTTCATCATTACTATTGCATTTGTTTGAGATATTAGAAATATTTAGTTGCTTTAAATTTCTGATTGAATGTTGACTTTTTTTAGAATCTTTATTTTTGAAATTAATATTAGGCATGCAATTTCTTGAGGAATCTAAATTCTAAGATGGAGATGATTAGAGATAGACTAGTGATTTTATAGATTGTCTCTAAACTGATTTATATGGACTCAACTTTATGCTATTTTTTATAATATCTCTATCACTTATTTGTTCGAAATTTAACAAACTAGAAATATTTGCTTCTTTTGCAGCAGTCATCTTAGATTTAATTTATTTCTTCAAGCTAATCTTTATAGATTTTCCAAATATATCATATTAGCAGATACTATTCAAATCTCTCTTTTTTTATGTTTTGGATTAATTAATAGTAAAAGATTTAAAATCCTTCTAGTTTAGTTTCTGATTTATCAAGGAATTTTCCCATCCTGGAGATTGACTCTTATATTTGGATTCTGCAATGCTTCTAATAGGAGTTTTTTTTACATCCACTGAATTCATGGTCGATAAACTTGAGCTAAAGATCTATTTTATGGAGGATCTATTTTCTAGAGAACAAAATATAATTTTTTTACTTAGTCTTTAGCTACTAACAGATTTTTCAAGAAATTAGTTAATTCTTTTATCCATTAAAGGCTAGATTATAGGTGAGTAGCTTAGATCTCTCATAGCAGGAGGAAGTGAAGTCATTTTTAGTTTATAATTTATATTTTTTGTTATTATTAATTGTTTATCATAGATCGATAATAAATATTTGGTTGGTTTTAAATCAGAATATAAACACTAAGCAGGATGCTACTTCTGCAAGTAAACATCAATCAAGAATCTCGAAGTTTAATTAGATAAGCGATTGTGCTATTTGAAATTAATTCAGATAACAACTTTTCTAATATTTATTAACCTCAAAACAAAAACCCATAATTTACTGATAAATTATGATCACTGCCACCTGAATTTTATTTTGTAAATAAATAAGATTGTTTAAATTTAGAAGCATTATTTAATCTATTAATAAATCAAAAAGAGAGACAGACAGACAAATAAATAGATAAAAAAATAGATAGGTAATGTATGAAGATATATTTAGGTGTTAATTAATTGGAAAGATTAATATTCAAAATTCTTTGAGCTTTAAAATTTCATTTAGAGACTTAAAAATATTAAGCTGAAAAAATTAATAAATTGAAGATTTTTGAGGTTGGGAATAAAAGGTAAGCAAGCAAGCATAGTAAATTATATAAAGTTTTGAATTTCCACCAGATTTAGTTTAATTTAAAAATTCAAGAAAATGAATTTTGAAAGCTATTTAATAAATTAATTGTTATAATAATATTAATTTTAGTAAATGCGTACCTTAATTAAAAGAATAATCTAAGCTCCACTAATTTTTCCTTGAAAATTCTTCTTTAAACATAAATTTATGTAATTCAACTAAATGTTTGTTATATATTAAGCAAATATACATTCTTATTTTCATATAATGCCGATGTGTAAGTAAGTAATAAGAAATAAATATATTGACTAAATAATTTTTTCTACTAGAAATACCAGAGGAAAATATGCCTAAATTATTTTATTAATTTACATATTGACAAAAGAATAATCGAAACGCATAACTTTCATTAAGTTTTATTACTTTTCTAAAAAAATAAATGCTTGTTTATTCATTAAGAAATGCTACTTATAGTTTAAATACACTTAAATTCATTAAATAAATGGTGAAAGATAGTAATTCAGAAAACTATCGATTAAAATATAAAATATTAATGTAGATTTAGTCTTTTAAATGCTGTTACAAAGATGATATCCATTATTTAAAATGTATCTTTTACAAATTTAATTAATTTTTCTTCCTCTTAAATTGAGTGGTTAATTTACTTCAAAGCTAATAACATCTATCTTTTCTTGTTTTAGTGTAAGCAATTAATGAAAAATATAATAATATTTTATCTTATTTTCTTATTTAATAATTAATTCTATTTTTAATTACGTTTAATTCAGAGAAAAAATTGTTTTATTTCATATATATTTGTAATATTTTAAAATAATGAATTAAAAACACAGCTTTACAGCTTTGAATTTTTCTTTTATGCATTTTACTTTTTTTTACATTTTATTAGACAATGTTACAGTCAAACCAGATATATCGATTAATCTTATATGTTGGCAAATTATTTATTTGAGAAAATTTTTTACTTAAATGTTACAGTCAAACCAGATATATTCATTAATCTTTTATGTTGGCAAATTATTATGTGAGAAAATTTTTTAATAGTGTAACTTTCAAGTAATACCATACATAAAAAAAGTATTTTTATTTCACATTTAATAAAGAGTGTAAATTTTTTAGACAAATAATGGCAACTAAAAACCTATTTTAAAGTTAGGAGTAGCATAAAATGTAATTTTCTTTAACTCTTAATTCAGGTTAAAAATTAAGAGGTTACTATAATAAGTTTTTGTTGCAAATTCGAATAAATTTAATAATCTAAAAACTTACAATTATAATAACTTTAAAAAGTCAGTGAGATTACACTTAATTCATGAGATTATATTTTATTATTACCATTTAAATTTAATATAGATTGATCAAATTGTGGTTAAATTTAAATCTAATTTTCACAATGAATTTTAAAATCAAGAGATAATCAATCATCAATATATTCAATATTCGAATATTCTAAAATACATTTCGAAATTATTATTTTAAGTAATAAAAACCAGTTCATGAAGATATTTATCACACTTTTAATTATCTCTATCTGTAATAAATAATAAATATAAAATTATCAAAATCTTTTATCTTGACCCTCCAAAAAAAATGTAAATTTAGCCTTAAATCGAATCTTTAAGCCCTCCAAATTTCAAAAATTTAATCAAAATTATTACCGGCCTTAATTAAACCACATTTTCAAATTTTTAAAAACCTGCCTTAATATATGAACCTTTACCGTATATATCAATAATAATTTTTTATTTAAAACAATAAAAATGCTTTTTAAATCAATTTTCAAAATAAGTTTAACAAATTACATTTAGTTTATATAAATTACATATTATACTTTAATAAATTAAATTTAAAGAAATGTATTGGTAGTATTTAGTTAGTTAGTAGTTAGTTAGTAATTAGTTAGTAGGATAGCTAGTTAGTCGTATTTATGGTAAGATTGGTATATTTAGTTTTATATGCTATTTATCAATTAATTTTTTGTTACTAAGATTATGATTAATCTTCTAAAAATGAAGCTCATGAATATCTGCTGTTATGGTCCATTTAATAATAAATTGATTAATCCTAGAAGTTTTGATTAATGTATTAGAACTATTAAGGTAGATCTTATCTTGGAATTGTTGGTAAAATAAAATTTGATTTGCATTTCCCTATTTTTAGTGTTCTTTCAGAATTTTTTTTATCAGTTCTCTTTTACATATTTTCTTTTAAGTGATTTAAGAGGAGTTCTAGTCTGTATTCTAATTTTATTTTATCAGTTTCTCCAGAATTTTAGATACTTTTAAGCATATTTAAAGGTATGAGGATTTTTTTTTCTGCAACTCTGCCTAAAGCTTCAATAAACTCTATAAATGACATATTAATAAATTTATTATTATTGATTTCATCAATTTGAATCATAATTGAAAGGTTAAACGCAATTTAAACATCTTTTTCAGTAAAAGATTCACTTAACAATTTAAAATGCTTAACCATATCAGTAAATTCATAAATACTCATAGATTTTTGGAATTTCAAGTTTCTTTTTTCTTCTTTTTTACTGTCAGCCCATCTATGCCATATTTCTTAGATGGTATCAATGTGATTTTTTAGTACTTATTCACATCCTTCATTCCAGAATCTTTCATCTCTCCATTTTTAAGGGTCTTCTATTTCTTCTATTACTGATTTGATAGATTTTTTATCAAAAAATTTTTAGATGGCTTTTTAAACATTTTTACAATTTCCCTTTCTCATATATTTGTCACAGATAATTCTTACTATTAGTTCTAAAAATTAAAATCTTATAACTGCTTTCTCAGGATTTAAATAGTTGCGCTCCTTATCGGTATTTGAGATAGCTGAAATAAAGTTGTAATCAATGTCTACTATTTTATATAATTTTCCATCTGTCAATTTCATTTTGTTTGCTAAAGCAAGAAATTAACTCTAAGAAATTGTTGGTATATCACCAATCATTCCTATAGAAGAATGGTATTTGTAGAGATTCATTAATGAATTATAACGGTTCTTAAAAAGTTCTTTTACTTCTTATTTTTCCTCAAGAATATTTAAGAAAGAGTTTAAAATAGTATTGATTTTTGAGTTTTCCCAATCGAATTCAAAGCATTTATTAATTAAATCATCATAATCCCTAATGGAAGATAAGAATATTGATGTTTTAATAGACCAAGAATTATCTAAAGTTATATCATAAATTTTTTCTTCTATCCTTGGTTTGCACTTAATCAGAGATTCGTATTTATTAGAAAATAAGTTTGAGCTTTTAACAGTTTGTATCTTGTTAATAAACAAAGGAGTTTAGAATTACACATTTGTGCCAGAGTATTACAACTCGAAAAATTTGTTCACACTTTTAGTTTTTTAAGGTGTTACAATAGAATTTGAGTTATCCTGTAATTCCATTTTATCTTCTTTGGATAGGAAAATAATTTCAGGATACTCATTTGCCAAAAACAAGATTTTTTGGTATTCTTTTGCATGATAAACAATTTTACTATCAATATTAGTGAAGAAAAATAAAATTTCTTTATTTGGTGGACACATTTTGGTTAAAAAAAATCTGTTAGGGTTATTAGGATCATGCTCCATTAAGCAGGGTTAGTAATTCTCAAATTATAAGTGCAAAAAAACAGGGTATTTGCAAAAAGAGCTACTTTATTAAGTAAATATTTCAAAAGTAAATTCAACCCATCCATCACATATCCAGCAAACACCATTTTTTAAGTTGTTTTATTGTGAGCTTTTAATAAATTAAAAATTTATTTTGAAAATTGTTTAAAAAAGTAATAAAATTTACTTTTTTCTTGATTGAAGTCCTTAAATTCTTTAATGCTAAATATCTGGTTCTTATTCTTCAGATTATTCGCTTTACTTCATATATCCTTTGGTGTCAAAATACCAATTTCCTTCGTTACCCAAGTAGTGTATTCCAAATAGGGTTTTATTTTTTTAAATAGATGTTGATATCTCTACTGATTCCTCAAAAGAAATATTATTATAAGAAAGGTCTAAATGCTTTAATTTAGAGTTTGTATTTGAAATGCTATTAACTATGCTCAAGCAAGCATTTAGCCTTTGAGGAAATCCAATGTTATTTTTGCTTAAATCTAAGACCTATTATATATTTTATGATTATTTATTAAATGAAAATTTTAATAAAAACGAATTAATACTTGTAAGCTGTTGTTGCCTTCTAAACCTTATGCCAGACAAAGCGCGCCTTCAGAAGTGATATTGTTTTGGCTAATGTATAATTCATTTAGTTCAGTATTTTTCAAGAAATTAGAAAAACATTCCATGCAGTCATCAGTTAAACAGTTTTAAGATAGATTGAGAACAGATAAATTATATTAAAGAAGATCTGAGTATATTTAATTGAAACCAATATCTCCAATGTTATTGTTCTCCAAATTTAGAATTTTTAAATTTGAATAAAAAGACTTCTGCGAGAGTGGAT